TTGGAGTTTGAGGTGATACTGTGATACTGAAATAAAAAAAACTAAAATATGCGTCACATCCTGGTACATCCTGTCACCTTTCCCTGCAGGTTCTGCAGGTGCCTAATCTTGAGTTTCCAACCCCCACCCTCGGTAAGCTAACCATGAATAAATCCAAAAAAGAAAAATGTCTGAGGAAAATAGAGAGTTTAAGTTTCCAATCTCCACTACTACTGCTATTTTTGTGGCAGTTCAGGTATTGTACAATTTTTTATATCTATCTATGGCATAAATCAAAGAGTTGTATTAATACCTTTACCCTGATAATTAAGTTGATTTTGATGAGACTTCACATAAATTCCTAGTCCAATCAAAAATGAGTTGTTCTTCTTGTTCCTACAGTGTGATGTTTGAATGCTGTATAAGTAGAGTTTGACACCAGAAGGATATTTTTACATTCATCTGCTGAAAGTGGAAAGTTTCTCTGTGCTCACTGAAAATCAGATGTGTGGTGCTGGGCCTATCAGCATGACTTTGGACATCACCAATAGTTTGCAAGTCAGTCCTGGTCCAGTATGTAACTTGACTTGACTTCACGGCCCATTCTCATTTCCAGGCTGTCAAATATAGACCAAGCTATAGACCAGTTACTTAATCTGCATCTTCAATGCTAGATGCCACTAAATCCTACACACAGGATTGCCTTTTTCAAGACAAGTTTAACTCTGGTGCTCACGTTCAACAAGTAACAGTGACAGCTCACCTGACTTGGGATATGTTGCAATGATGATATCATCCGGGCGGAAAGAAAACTCCTCGTAGTATTTCAGGCTCTGTGGAGGGTGAAGGAGTGAGGGCATATAAACCCTCTTGTACAGCGTGTATAACTCTGCCTCAGTCATAGTTCAAAGGGAGAAACAGAAGAGTGTCTACGGCTGAGATAACTCATACAGTGACTACTGACTGCTAATGAATCTCTCTCTCTCTGTTGCTTTAACCTTATAAACAGATCCAGTATAAGGAATTTAATAAGTGAATTTAATATGTGGCTGAACATTTACCCAGTGTGTGCTGACCATAGCACCAATGCAGTACTGGGTTAACATGGTGTTATTTTTATTTTACTGTTGGGTTACTGGATCAAAACAGCCCTTCTTTTGGTGGTTTTCTACTCATTAGTACTGGGTAAAAGTTAACACAGTATTACATCTGTGCTATATTGACCCCACACTGGGTCAGTTTGTTGTTGTTGTGTTGTTTGTCTGGAGAATCGCTGTCAAGATTTGTTTTAAAGTACTATGAATTGTCATTGCTGTAAAGCATTTTCAGAAAAATATTCTATCCACTGCTCAATAAAAAGGTAGCATCATCTAAGACCAACAAAACTGAATCCACAAAACTGGCAGGTGGTGTTGCTCTGAAACTTATTCACAGGTTTTTAGCCCTGTTACCCTCATATTCAATGTCAGATTTGAAATTGAATGCACTGATCCAGAGTCAGCAACTGCCTTTAACATGCAACAGTCTACCTGTGTCACAGCTGGTGTGAGAGGACAACAGGAATAGGACTCAAACGCACACAGCAGCAGGTAGACCGGTTCAATGATTTATTAACAGAAATAAAGTTCATAACAGGCAGACGGTTTATAGGGCGGGTCAGGCTGGTAGAAACAGGTCTAGGCTGGAAAGCAAAGACCTGAGTCATGGAAACTAATCTGAAAAATCTGGCAGGGAATAAAGTAAGTGAACTGCTGTATGTACTGAGCATCTGATTATGGAATGAGTTGTAAGTGAGGAGATAGGGGAGAAGCTAGAAAAACAGCAGGGCCGATTTGAAGTGGGGACAAGTGTGTGGGCAGTCAGGCAGTGAGGGAAGGAAGGAAAGTCCAAGGACATCTGGAGGACAGCTAGAGGATGGGAGTTGGAGGAAAGGTATGGCTTGAAAGAAGTGAGCAGGGCTGGAGGAACACAAGAGAACCCAGACCAGAGGTGTGAGCCTGATCATAGACTTGATTTGATTATTTGATTGACTACTGATCATACATCATTTAACAATTCACAGACAAGGCAGTGATTCAGAGGACAAGGGTAGTTTTGTGTGTTTTTGACTTTGATGTAAATTAATCACAGCTCAGTGCTTTTCGTGCAGTGTGTGATTGAAAATAAGTAAAGTTTCAGTTCCTCTTGTGCAGAGTGACATCTCATAGGGCGACTGTACGGTGGCCGACAAGGGCAAACGCGCCGCAAACGGCAAAACGCTTCAAACATGGGAATGATGCAAATCCAAAAACACACAAACACATAAAACAAATCCAACAGAAAAACGCAGCAACAGAAAAATGCTGCAATCACATAAACGAAGCAGAAGCACAAACTTACAAACCCACAAAACAAATGCCAAAGAAAAATGCTGCAAATATCAAAAACACACAAAACCCCAAAACAACTGCCAGATAGAAACGCTGCAAATTCGCTCGACAAAACGGAAGTGCGCCAGTCCACTAGGGGGACCCGACCTGTGGGACCAGACCCGAAGAAGAAGAAGAAAGTTGGCTACGTTTTGGAGAGGACAGTAAAAAGGTACGTTTTCCTTTATGTATTTTTTAAACACTTTTACACCGTTATCTTTTACAATATTATAATATTATGTTATTATAAAAATATAATATAATATTATAATTCTACGGAGCCCCTAAAGGGACATGGGGGAAAAAAAAAAAAATGAAACGTTTCTAGTGCGCACTAGATCCTATCTTGTGCGCACTAGATACTATCTAGTACTATCTAGTGAGCACTAGATACATCAGTGTTGTGGCAAATCAACACATGGCTAATTTTAATATTCAAATGAGTATTAAACTAATTTGTCTGTAACTAAAAAATAAAAGTAAATTAATCTGTAACCTCTTTTGTTACAGTCCGCATTTAAATGCCCTGTCCTGCAGCCGGACACTCATTTGTCCTCCTTTTGAGAAAATAACAAAAACAGTCTGCCTTTTGACACATTACCTCCTTAGTTTAATACTTCTTGGCTTAAAATGTGTGTCAAAATAAGTTATTTCATTGGTTACATTTTGGTGTTGTGACCTATCAACACATGGCTAATTTTAATATTCAAATGAGCCATGTGTTGATTTGCCACAACACTCCATCCATATCTAGTGCGCACTAGAAACGGATCTAGTGCGCACAAGATAGTATCTAGTGCGCACTAGAAACGGATCTAGTGCGCACAAGATAGTATCTAGATAGTATCTAGTGCGCACTAGAAACGGATCTAGTGCGCACAAGATAGTATCTAGTGCGCACTAGAAACGGATCTAGTGCGCACAAGATAGTATCTAGTACTATCTAGTGAGCACTAGATACATCAGTGTTGTGGCAAATCAACACATGGCTAATTTTAATATTCAAATGAGTATTAAACTAATTTGTCTGTAACTAAAAAATAAATGTAAATTAATCTGTAACCTCTTTTGTTACGGTCCGTTTCATTTTTTTTTTTCCATGTCCATTTAGGTGCTCCATATAATTCTAATATATTATTATAATATTATATTATATTTTTATAATAATATAATATTATAGAAGAATATTATAATTATATAATATTATAATATTCTAAAAGATTACGGCCAAGTGTTCAGATTGCATAGGTCTAAAAGACATCATACAGAAACTGTTCTTAATGTTTTTATCTGGACAGATAAAGGGTAAAAAAATACAGCACCTTCTGTTTCAGATGTATAGGCTTTACCTAGGCTTTGCCTATACATATGAGTATCTGAGTTCATCTGTGACTGTGAGTCCTCAAGGTTGCTTCACAGAGGCTGGTTAGAGGCAGGCCACAGAAGGCCTCAGCATGGTGGACCTGTAGCATCAACAATGAAACACAAGAGAAATCACACTGATGAAACAAGTTGAGACACATAGCCTTTCCTTATCCATATTGCTAATTAACATGAACAGGACAGAGTTGTATGACATTCTCACCTGGAGTTCAGGCAGCTGGTCACAGGCTGGGTAGAGGCTGATAGAGAATCTGATGGTAGAAGGGAGGTCTGGCCTCTTGGGACTGGCACACAGTCTATTTGCAATACTTCAGCCCTTTCCTGGCTGCTGAACTAAGAGAAGAGTCACCTGCTGCACTCCCATTGTTAGCTCGATGCTTGTCAGTGCTAGAATGTCTGTCGATAGCTGCTTTCCCTTTGCCGCTGACATCTACGTCGCTTCGACACAATGTACAAAAAAATCAAACTCATCCTTTCTACTTTTTGTCACAAACCCATGTTCTTTTGCCCATTATGGGTTAAAGGAGGTCTTTCGCTTTGGCATTTTCAGAATTTCAATCCAACAACCCACGTTAACTAACCTTATGTTCTCTGTCCCTGAGAGCTTGATTGACAGCCTGGTGGTAGCAACTGCATTGTGGCAATCAACACATGGTTCATTTGAATATTAAAATTAGCCATGTGTTGAGGTCACCAAAATGTAACCAATGAAATTACTTTTTTTGACACAGCTTTTTTGACACACATTTTTAGCCAATAAGTATTAAACTAACAAGGTAATGTGTCAAAAGGCGGACATTTTTAGTTATTTTCTCAAAAGGAGGACAAACGAGTGTCTTAAGGCTGCGCCTGCAGCCGGACAGGGCATTTAAAAGCCGGACTGTCCAGCATAAAGCCGGACAAATGGCCACCCTACATGCTACTAAATCCTACACACTGGTCCTTTAACTGGTTCAATGCAAAAACTAACTGAATTAATTAATTAAATACTTTATTGATTTCTAATGCCACCTTTTAGATATTTATATTCAATGCTTTACTAATGTGCCACAATAATATAATGTTTTTGAGCTGAAATATCCTAATTTGGGGGCTTCCCAAGCAAATATTGACACATGAGATTGTTTGTGATTAAATGAATATATATTTGCCACCCCTTAAGTCTCCATGCCACCGTATGGCCACCCCACGAATACCTGAATTTCTCTAGATCCGCCCCTGCACACAGATCCACAGGCCGCCTTCTTTGAGAATATGTTTCCGCAGGGCAGGAAAGAGAGAGAGAGACCGGAAGAGCAGACTACTGTCACTGTATGAGTTCCCTCAGCCGCAGACACTCTTCTGTTCCTCCCTTTGAACTATGACTGAGGCAGAGTTATACACACTGTACAAGGGGGTCTATATGCCCTCACTCCTTCACCCTCCACAGAGCCTGAAATACTACGAGGAGTTTTCTTTCCGTCCGGATGATGTCATCATTGCAACATATCCCAAGTCAGGTGAGCTGTCACTGTTACTTGTTGAACGTGTCTCGATATCAAATGTAACATTTATGTAGTTAGTAAGTTAGACAGTCCTTTAAACTAAATATGACGACTCAGAAGTGGAATTTCGTACATTAACGTGAAAGAGAAGAAATAAAATAGCAGTTCAAGTCCAGCCTGTTATATTCTTAATGTTTGGAAACCCATTCACTGCTTTCCACTGGAGCTTATGTGTGAGTTCTGCCTGGGTTTGTCCTGAAAACTGATTTTCTGGCTTCATTTCAAGTGACACTGACATTGTAGTTCTAGTGAAATCATTCACTGGAACTACAGCGACTCGTTACATAATCACTTATTGGCACAATTACTGTTGCATCATCGCGGTATGTGTGTGACGGTAGTCAGATGTAGCCAGCAGGTTTGTCAAACACTGCGGTCAAGCCACTCCGATCCCCGTGGTGAAATCAGCCGCACCCAGGGGCGGATCTAGAAAAATATTTATGGGGTGGCGAGAGGGAGGCAGGTATTGTATAAATACTGAATTTAATCACAGTTTGATGACACATAGTATGTACACACTACAAAAGGGCACGGGCTGCCATTTACAAACTCATACAGACAAACTTAATCTCATGCAATCAGTGTCTTGCATTTGAGGTTTCATGTGAAAACAGTTCATATTAGGAATAAGTGACCATACAATGTGATCTCACTTAATAGGAGATACAGGTATGGTAACACTACTGTAGGTAGGGCATTATCACAGGAAAGGCCTTAAGGTAAAACACAGGTGATGAGTGGCAGATGTGAGAGGGGAAGCAAACATTGCATTTACATGGCCTTCAGATCTGGCATGAGAACAGAAACCACTGTCTTTCATTGTAGCCTTTTTCCAGTTACGATAACCCTCGAATGAGGTGAAAACAGTCCTTGGAGCATCAGGGAGGGAAAAATGCCTTCATATGTAACGCAGTATACTATGCAGCAACAGTTTCCATACCATGTGGACCAGCTCCACTGGAGATAGTTGGTGATGGCTCAGGTACTCTCCTTTTCCTTTCACTGTCTGAGCTCTGCACGTTATCTTGTCTCTCACTTTCTCCCTCCTCATCTTGGTGATGCTCTCCCTCCTCCATATCTTCACCGCTGTGGTGTTCTCCCTCCTCCTCCTGTCCCTGGTCGCCTTGGCCTTGTATTCTCTCTCTGTCACGTTTCTGTTGCCCTTCTCTCTCTCCTTCCACCACATCTTCTCCATCTACCTTGCTCAGGTGTTCATTTTTTATTTCTGTCGTTTTTCTCTTTGGTGAGAAAAAACTTGGTATGCTACCTTTCCTCTTCATTTCTGTAAAATTCAAAGTAACTTAACAATGTTTTCCTTGACAGACATTGAATCAATATTGGCTTTTGTAGCCTATTTTACACAGAACTAATGTCAGACCTAGCTAACATTACATGTATAGTTAGAGAAATAACGTTCTTCAACCTGATTTTTATCATCTCAAAAACTATGCTAGCACTGTGCTTTCGTTATAATTTCATCTCTTGATAGATAGTTAATACGTTTTTACCTCTTTCCTCCCGTCTCTCCTTTCCTCGCGACTCCTGGCTCCTTCGCTTCGCGCCACTCAGTTTTTCAAACAAATCAGTCTCTTGCCGGCCGTTATCTCGTGCTGCATTCAATGCAGTCTGAAATTGGAGATTGCGCTCGTGTGTTCGGCTGGCAGTTGTGCTATTACAGTGGATCATCTGCAGGAGGAGGCTTTCTGGGGCAGCAGTCTTACTGGTCATAACTGGCAAGAACCGGGTGTCCACCAGTTTCCATCCCCAATCCACTGTGTTCATGTCACCTTCCTTTCCAATCCACACCATGATCTGGAAGTAAACTCTATAGCAGTGGTATTTGGTTGAGGACTCAGTTGGAGGCAGACATTCTGGGGTAACAATTGATTTGGCAGTAACGATTTTCTTGCTAAAAAGGTTGTAGCGCAAAGTGGCAAGTAAATCAGTACTCTTTCCGCCAAACAACACTGCCATTGCCTTGGTCCCATGGTCCTCTATGACATTACTTGCTTGATGTGGGAACAGAAACAAAATTGCACAGGACTGGATGGTTGATTCACCATTCTCAAGTTTCTGGAATGCTGTCTGTTTGCCAACACTAAAAATGGAAAAGTTGTATCACATCCTGTGAAGGCGTGAATAAACAGTAACTGGGAACACAAGTCACTACCCAGGACTGATGTTGTACACTTTAGTAGCTCTGGACTTGTCTGAACAAAAGTAGAGGCCTCTATTGTTCATCCCAGCATAGTAGAGGAGAAGAATGAGTAAGTCTGTATCCTCCCCTATCAAGGTTGTGGACTGATGTTCTGAGGCCTTGACTGCAGCTTTGATATATTATATATATATATATATATATATATATATTAAGTATGCTTGTAGTCTTATATGTGTAGAAGTCAAATATACCATCCATAGCCAGGAATTATTGAGCAGTGTGTTTTCACAGTAGCTCAAATATGGTAAAATCTGGAGGCATAAATATGGGACTTTTATTTTGGCTTTACTGGTGCAGTAAAGATACTTGATAAGTACGTGTTTTTATTGATAATGGGTGCATGAAACACTTTAATGTAACATATTTTATTTTAAATGTAGGTTCGAATTATAGCTTACTGTTCTTAATACCTTTTATTTTGAAAACCGGAAGTAATGTGCTGTTTCTCCGCATTTACCATAATGCTGAGTATACTTGTACTCTCGAAATTTAAGTGCGGCAGATTAGAGCACGGAGATCGGAGTGATGGCTGGCTTGACCGCAGTTGTAATACATTCTGCTGTCTCTTATCGCTCTGTCGGACAGAGTCACCTGGAATGACACAAAAGCCTGTTCTAGCTACATTTACACAGTTATCAACACCCCGAGACAAATCTCAACCAAATTTGTTGTACTGTAGGACTAACTAGTTAATGTTTTACTGTCTTTAAATAGGTACACTGCAGTTAATAACAAATGAGGAGCAATAAAAATAGCTTATGAATAACTACTCCATATCAGATAATGATAGTGGTTGGGAAAGTATTCAGATCCTTTATTGTACAATTATCAAGAGAATACTTTATTTACTTTATTTATTATTATAATATATAAAAATAATAATAATAATGATAATAATAATAATAATAATAATAATAATAAACTTAATTTACAAGGTGTTGTACAGTAAAAACATTAGTAAAACAATAAAACTACAAACATTCAGAGTATAAAACAAGAAATAACAACAATAAAAACACATTACAGGATAACAGGATAAAGTGCTTACGAATCAGGTGAGTTTTTAGTAGATTCTTTCTTCCCCTCATTTTTATAATAAAATAAAAAAAGAATAGAAAAAAAGTCTAGTCATTAGGTAGAGTGGGTCGTCCACTAATCGTTCCCCAGATCCTCCTGATGCATTTGGAAGTGTCCTTGAGCAAGATACTGAACCCCAAATTGCTCCCAATGCTGCACATCGGTGTATGAATGCGGATGAATGACTGTTAGTTTCTGTTTGTGATTGGCTTTGCCGTCAGTTTATGAATGGGTGAATGTGGCATAGTGTAAAGTGCGTTGAGTGGTCAGAAGACTAGAAATGCATGATACCAGTACAGTCCATTTACCATTTGTTTTACTTTGTTTAGGTACGACTTGGATGCAGGAGATTGTCCCGCTGATCATGAGCGGAGGAGATCCAGCTTCTGTTGAGACTCTTCCTAACTGGGACCGTGTTCCCTGGCTGGAGGAACAACGGGCCTGCGTCCTTAACCTCGATCAGAGGCCATCCCCGCGCATGTTTTCTACACATTACCAATACAACATGATGCCACCGTCCTTCTTTGAAGTCAAGCCAAAGGTAAAGCTTCCGTATAGTTTGTGTCATGGATCATTAAGGCATTTAAACTGACGGTACATATGTTTAAATCCATGTGATGTAGAATGCCTCCGACCATGAGGTTTGAGTTTAGACGACTTTACATGTTAGGAAGTATGGCATCCAGTCACACACACGGGAGGTTGGGATGTAGTGTATCGGTAAGTGGTTGCTATGGTGTTAGATGTGGTTGATAAGGTGCAAACACACATAGCTTGTCCAAATGAATACACTCAAATTACAGTCACAATACAGACTAGCATGACTACCATGTGATCAAGAGGCTAAACATCAATAGTTATGAATATTGCAAATCAATGTGCACCTAAGTACTTAATATTCAACAACAGACCTGGACAATTACTCTAAATACAGTCAAAGAGAGAAAGAACAACAGAAAAAGCCAAAGACAGGGAGTATCAGAGTCCCTGGTGTTCACCTTTTAACCTCTTTAAAATTACCCCTTTTTTTCAATCAGTGGCATACCCAAATCAAACAGAAAAAGTGGAAGGCTAAAATGCACGTATAAAGACTCAAAAAGTTTGTGATAATGTGCTCATTTAGTATCGGGCTAAAACCCACCCTACATCGTCGTGACTGCAAATAGGGGTCGCTGTGCTTATAGAGCAGCAGAAAACACTGATGTTGTTAAATACACTAGGTAAAATAATACAGAGAATTGTATAAAAATTCCCCAAATTATCAGTAAAACTGCTGTAATATTTACAGACATATTTACTGACCACTTCCGACCTGGGAACACCCCACAAGAGCTGCAGTTCTGGAGATGATCTGACCCAGTCGTCCATCACAATGTGGCCCTTGTCAAAGTCGCTCAAATCCTCACGCTGCCCATTTTTAATGCCTCTAACACATCAACTTTGAGGACAAAATGTTCACTTGCTGCCTAATACATCCCACCCACTGAGAGGAGCCATGATAACCAGATAATCAGTGTTACTCACTTCATCTGTCAGTGCTCATAATTGTATGGCTGATGTATATGCGTAGTGCTCTAGCATTTGTTGTAGAACAAGGTTTAACATAGTTTTTTAGCTGTTAATTGTGAACAGTGACCCTCATTTCCAACCCCTAAGGCGGGGCATGGCAGTTCTTCTATCGCCCACCATAACACATTATGGTTATGATTATTATCAAATTCATTATCAATTATTGATAATGAATTAAATGCTTAAAGCATAGTTTAGAGTGTCCCACTGAATCAAAGTAACCAAAGACGCCAGGTCACATGGTCAGACAGAGAGCTCAATAGAGCCAGCTACAGCTAGAATAAACATGGTAAGTGCAGTTGCTGCCACTGTACAGTGACGCATACAGTTATGAAATATATCTGGTTACTAGAGGCTGCTCTAGGTTTCTGAGGTTTGTCAGAGTATTAATTTGTTGTATAGCATTTAGTGTGACATCATTAAATAGACTAAGTTTCTCTCAGCGCCCCCGACTCTGACTGACTTCCAGCGTCCCTGCTCTGAACCAGATAGATCATTTTCGTCTGTTGCCTCTTCAGTCAAGACATCAGCGAGATGGTTGTTGGCACTTGACTTTTGTTTTCATGAGTTGACCTGAAACCCATGGTCAAGAGGTTATGGGATTACTAGGTAGTCTTCTAGAGCCCTTTTCCAGATACATACTTGGCAGCTGACTCTTTACATGTGCTGCAAGAGGACCCAAATGCAAGGTGTAAAAGTTGAAAGATCATTGGAGAGACCTGGGGTGCGTCTCATATCACTTAATTACATCCAGGTTTCCCTCACTTACATCTTTACTTTGTGTCTTAGTCCCTCCCACCAGGGATGCATAGAGAGATGCAAGGAAATGAGTAGAAAGAAGGAACAAGGAAATATGTTTTTAGATGATTGAGAAGTCCTTTCCTCTGAAGAATCACATGAAGTGACGTCTGTTTCTGATGGCGGTAACAGCTGATCACAGCTTCGTCAGCTATCAGTCGGCTTTGACAGCTGTAGAGACTATTTGTGGAGTTTGTGTCTGTACATGTGTGAACTGTACTAATACTAATAAAGACACACAGTTATCAGTGCCAGAGCAGCAGCCTGTTACCTGTGTAACAAACACCTGCACATGAATAACAACCTGCATTATAGTGATGGGCAGATCACAGCTAGAAGTGCACCACTGAGATCAATCTGATGGACTAAATAGGGTAAACAGTGAAAACATGTCCCAAGTGTTCCCCACTGACTGGCTTCATTAGATCTGAGTCACAGTTAGTCTTATATTTCATCTGTGGTTGTCATGTTATGAGAGGACAAAGTGGCTCCTATAAATATGGGCATTGGCTTGCTTTAATGTGTAGTATAGTCAGACAAAGATGTCAACAACAAATAGCACATTATACAAATGTTATGTGGCAAATGAAAGCAGAGCAGATTGTGAGTGTTTAAAGCTTAATGATTTAAATAATGTCTTATCACTGCAGGTCATCTACGTCATGAGGAACCCCAAAGATGTCTTTACATCTTCCTTTCACTATTATGATATTACATCCTACCTGGTAAAGCCAGGCCCACAGAGCGAGTTCCTCCACAAGTTCCTGGATGGAAAAGGTTGTTCTCATTGTTCAATGTACAGTATTCATTTATAATACAATACACATTGTATGGAATAGCTATGGGCTTTCATCTGGTAACAAAGATTTCACATGGGTGGTGTTAAACACCATGAAGATCATTGCAAAAGGACCATTAATAATATGAAAAGTTGTAATTTACATGTGATAGTGGAAACTTGTGACTTTACTTCCCTTCTAGTTATGTTTGGCTCATGGTTTGATCATGTGAAGAGCTGGCTGAATGCTGAGGATAAAGAGCGCATAATGTACATCTCCTATGAAGAGCTGATAATGGTGAGATTATCTCTTCAGAACATTTTATAAACAATTCTAACGGCACAAGAATACACAGTCATACAGTGAGAATAGGAATATGAATAGGAATATGAGATGATGTGTGTTTCTCTGGTGCAGGACCTGAAGGACTCTGTGGTCAGAATCTCTCAGTTCTTGAAGAAATCTCTGGATGCTGAGGTGATTGAGAAGATCGCAGACCGATGTTTGTTCAAGAACATGAAGCAGAACAAAATGTCAAACTACTCTTTAGTTCCTCGTGAATTCATGGACCAGACAAAGTCAGAATTTCTCAGGAAAGGTAATTTTCCTTAATTAATGCATATACAATACTATTTCAGTTCCACTGTTGTTGGGTGCGATCTATAGAGCCAAATTACATTTACTGGGAATAACTAGACATAGTTTGATTCTAAAAACATTTTATACAAGACTTCTTGTAGTGCGTTTAAAATAGGACCTCAATTTTACAAACCATTTCTTCAACTTCATTATGATTCCTCTTTTTGCACGTTGTGTTTCAGGAATTGCCGGAGACTGGAAAAACCAACTGACAGTGGCAGAAGCAGAGTACTTTGATGCAGTTTACAAAGACAAAATGAAAGATGTCAAATATAAATTTGTATGGGATTAGAATAAACGTAATGTTAGTCATTCCAACATACCATGATGCACAGAAACAACAATCATATAAACTTACATTAATTCATAATAAGGCATACATTAACAATGTTTAATAACTGTTCATAAGGAGAGGAGAAGCTCACTGTCAGCCGTGCACTTAAACTCTGATTCAGTGTTAAGAAAGAAACATGTTAAGCAGAAGCTGTGTGTTGATTGAAGCAGTTGTGTTTGTCAAATCATTCAGTCAGATAGTTTTAACCACATTAATATGCTGTTGCATTTTGAGGAATATCTGAAAATTACTTTTTAACCCTTAAACAGGCAGTAGTGGAAAATGAGTTGCAAAAAATAATTTAATGTTATCACTCATCTCTTTAGGCCCTAAGAAAAATATGTCCGCATTCAATATATATATATATATATTCAATATTTTAGATTTTATGAGTTGTATCTCCCAGGATACGTTGCCCTATTAAGGTATAAACAGAGCCTCAATGATAAACATATTAATGTTCAGTTTGATGAAGATAAATTATACATTGTTGTATTCCTTGGTCATTTACATTACACATAGCACTTTTAAAGTTGATTTTATTCATTTTCACCAATCCATTTTAGTAATCTCATAACAAAGCAATCTTATAAAAAAGTACACAAAAACGGAACATTTCATGATGAACATATTTGACTTTTTGTGCACTGAAGATTACATAAAAACAAAACAACACAGCAATTTCATTTTGCATACACAGCTGAACACTGGAGAAAGTTTTATGGGTCCAGGTTTTCCATAATGGTGCGAACTCTATAAACAATTCCCCTCATTTCCTGTCTGTATTTCATTTTTTATGGAACGCTTGGAAGCAGTTGCGTGGGTTTTTCCCAGTGACGATGCACAGACGAACACCACATTTTGTGCAGTAGATTGTCGTCTGTCCTTCTGGGCAAAGCCTGCACCTTCCCTTTAGTCTGTGAATGCTGGGAAGTGATCCACTTGATCATGCCATGGGTCTTGGGGTTGTTGGCCTTTGTATGCATCTGGTGGGGCTGTGCATATTCTCCTCCCCTCCTTTGGAAGGCCTTCCTTTCTTCTTTCCACTGTGGATAAGGGCATCTGCAACCTCCAGCCTGAATACCTTCAGCTTTTTGTGCTTTTGCACACCAATGCTTTTGACATCTCGGCGATACAGCAGCCATCCATTGTTGATGGCTATATCAGCCATTTGCCAAAAGAGGCCCAGGTACCACCGGTGGGACTTTGCAGGGGTGCGGTACAAGGCCACCATCATGTCAGCGAGGTCAACTCCTCCCATGTGGACATTGTACTGTGACACAATGTTTGGACAGGGAACAGCAACTCTTCTTCTCTCCTGTCTGGAGAAACGCCTGACTTCCTTGAGAGGGCTGATTGCAGCACAGGAGCTAGCTAAGGTGACAGCTTTGTTGTCAGACCATTTTACAACAGCCACTTCTGCCTCATTATCAACCCTGTAGTCATAGCTGCCCCTTCCTTGCCTCAGCAGAGCACGGTCATCCTCAAGTGTGTATCCTTTAAGCCTGTTCTTGCGGTTGGTTCCCAGACTTCGCAAACCAAGGGACTCCTTCAGATGCACAATGAGTGGGAGGGAGGTGAAAAAATTGTCAAAGTCGACAACACACTCTAATGGGTTCTTGATGGTCTTGCAGAGTTGAATGACAACATTGGCTCCAACTCCAAGTTCTTTGGCTGGACCCTGGCCTGTGCCAAATGTGCTCTTTCCAGTGTATGTCAGGAAGTCATAAACTATCCCAGAAATGTCTGCTCGAACAAAGATCTTGAAGCCCCAATGGTGAGGTTTGCTCGGGAGATACTGTCGGAGAGACCCAGCCTTTGTTCCCTTGTAAGGGACCATCGTTTCATCTATTGAGAACTTGTTCTCACTCTCAATTTCCAGACACCTTTTTCTTATGTGCTCCAGCACTCGTGTCACTTTGCAGAGCTGATCTTGGGTTGGGTCTGATGTCTGATTGTCTTGAAAGTGGATGAATCTTGAGAGGCATTTAAACCTTTTTACTGACATCACATTGGCTATTTTGGCATAACGTGTGTCTTCTGCCCAATAATCATCCATAGATGGCATTCTCACCACTCCCATGATTAGCTTAATGCCAACAAATGACTTGATCTCATCCACAGTGGTGTTAATGCTGGCTCCAATTAATTGACAGCTGTAGAGATTTGTCTGTTCAGCAATATGTTGGAACAGATCGTCATCAAATAATTGGGCAAAGTAGCTACGTAAAGACAGCTCATCAGGTACGCTGAATTCACTGATAGCTGCTGTTGACTGGTGCTCAAACCCTTGCTTACGCCAGCTGTAAAAAACAAACAAAAATATATATACATAAATACATAACTGTGTTATGTTATTTGTATAAAGTGGTATTATTAGCAAGTATGGACTGAATTTAGCTGGTTAGTGGCATGCTACTTTCAGTAAATATTACAACCATACAGAAGGTTTGTGTTTTTTCACCTTACATCAACTACTACACACAGACATTTGTATGGATTGCACATATAAGTGTCCCTAAATAAAACTACTGTCACCTGAATCCCTTGGCTTGTTTGGACTTTGTACTGTGATCCATCTCTTCATCCTCGTCATCAGAACTTTCATCCTCCTTATCAGAACTGCCTTCACTCACTGCCTCTATCTCATTCTGGCTGAAAATTACTTCCTGATCTTCATCACTGTTTGACTCAGAGTCAGAAGAACTTGTAATCTCCTCTGTCACTCTCACTCCTGTGCTTTCCTTTCTTTTCCCATAAAAGGACCAAGCCGAGATGCCCTGCTTGAAAATAAATCTTTTTTTTAAGTAAAATACAGTTATACTGTTGTAATGGGCACAGCTGTGCATGATAATATCTGGTACTGCAGTAATTATTAACATGCCTTCCAGTTTGAAACAAAATGTTGAATAATGCACATTGACCAAATTTCTACCCCTAATCTGGCAACGGATCTCAGGGGATACATTTCAAAAGCTGCTAGGTAACACCACAAACATAGTTGGAACATTTTTTCTTCATCAGAATGTTTAGACAAATGTCCTAACTAATTTTAGGAATTTATATTGTTGTTTTATTGAAAATAAGTATGACTAATATATGATTACTTACCCCCAAGGAAGCAGGTTCTCCACCACTGGCGGCCATGATATTTTCTGATCAGGCTGACGAAACGATGAAAGATAGCCTGAACCAAATCATGTGATCTAGATGCTAATACCAGACAAGACTTTTGATAAATGCTAACTTGATTAGTGAAAACCTCCCAGCACACCCTCTACAGGTTGTTAAAGAGTGTGTATCTCCTGGTGCACAGTGCCTGTTTAAGGGTTAACCCAAGTGATTTCATGCTGCAACAAATCTGGTACATTTTTAAACCAAGCTTAAACAATCAAAGTTAGTCAGCATTCCATGATTTAGCATTCCATGATTTAGTTTTTCAAGCAACACTTTGCACCACTGATTCTTAACATTCCCATATTTTCTGTATGAGTTGTTAAGCCTGGTTTAATAAATACATTTTCACCTTTCATGTTCATGTTTGTAAAAAATAGGGGCTCATCCAGGATTAAAGAACCCATGCTTAGTGTACAGCTAGGGGATTGTAGAAATCCTCAGGGATTGTCAACGATGGTGGGTATGGTCATAGTGACTTTTGCTTTGGTGTATTTTTGTAACTGTAGCCTAAAGTCAGCATAGAGAGTCCCACACATGGTTAAAGGTTGGTAGGTGTTCTCAATTCAGTTTTTTTGACAAGGGTTTGCCTCTGATCTGGTGTGAGACAGCCCAGTTAGTGGAACTACTTAACCAATAGGTATCAGAAGAACGTTGTTTGTTTTTTGTTGTTTTTGTGCATTAGTGTGGCCAGAGCATTTTGCACAAGGTACATCTCAATGACTAAGTGGGTTGCCAGCATGGTGGCTGCCTGACTGAGTCATTGGGCACTGTGTCTAAATTACCCAGCACCATAATTGCAGTCAGACAGTTTACAGGTTTTTTACATCTTGGCTGTCATACTAGATCAGGGAGTAACCTCTTGTGGTCTGTGCCTCTGATGGGCACTAGCCTAGTGGTTGGTATTGAAGCCTTGATTAACATTTTGTCCTTTGAGTATTTGGTTACCAGATAATGGCTGCTGGTAGTGCTGTCATCATGTCTGCTGTAGAGGAACATGTGCAGCATCTATGTAAGGGTCTACTTGATGCCTTCACTAAGGATCAGTTATTAAAAGTGGCCTAAGGATTTAAAAGGGCTGCTGTCTTAGGACTCTCTTTTTTGCTGCCTGGATGCCTTCCACATGGCCCTCACTTTAATTCTGTGTGTACATGTTGATGTGAAGCTCTGATCTTCCCTCTGTAAGATGACACTGTGTCCTTCAGTTAATGTATCTGTAACAATAAAACACATATCGAGTTCACATGTCAGTTGGAGTGCTGGTCTTTATTTTTTTTAAGTTGTATCCAGTGGACCTCACATCCAGTCTACATTAAATGTTACAGGCCTCTTATGAGTCCTGCTTTATACAAGAAAAATCAGACACAGTCGTATTTTAGAAAAGTCACAGTTTATGGTTGTGATTTGATTTGTTTATTTATGGTAATTAGGCACACTATGCAAGATTTTTACCTTAATATAACAGCTTCAAAGTCATTTCGATGGTAAACGGTATACAGATGGCTCTGGTGAGTGGTATTTACGACAGTTAACATTAAATACAAGTACTCCACAGCGACTCTAGGGGTAGCTGTTTGACAAAACCGGAAAACTGCATGGTATGCCTTTAATGTATTTGCCTTTAAAGAATAGTTTGACATTTTGGAAATTGCGGCTGAAGTGTAGGGATGGGAATCGAGAACCGGTTCTTCTTCAGAACCAGTGCCCAGTGAATTGATTCCTTGGAACTGTTAGCGTGCCTGCTTAACGATTCCGCTTATCGGTTCTGCTCGTTGCAAATGCGTCATGACGTCACACACGCGCTGCGTTGTTTTGGTTCAGAACCCAGTGAACATGGCGTCGAAGCAGAACCGCTCTGAAGTTTGGATATATTTCACGCGAAAAGATGACAATACGGTCCCTTGCAACACTTGTAAAGTTTCTATTTCGTCAAAGGGGGAACTACCTCCAATATGCAGAAACATTTGGCCACACAGCATGCAATTCATTTGCAGGACTGTCATGTGTTTGATACGCTACTACCTAGCGTTACAACGGGCGTTACGGGACGCCATCTGTTATCAATGCCAAAGGTAACTTTAAATGACATGATCATTTTTCTGCACAAAAATTATTACACTTATTAGCTAAAAATGTGTGTCAAAATAAGTAATTTCATTGGTTACATTTCCGTGTAGTGACCTATAAACACATGGCTTATTTTAATATTCAAATGAGCCATGTGTTGATTCGCCACAACACACCACCAGGCTTTCAATCAAGCTCTCAGCTACAGAGAAGGTAAGGTCAGCCTTTATCTATCCTAATAAAAACATTAAGTTTTCTGTATGATGTTTATTAGACCTATGTAATCTGAATTGGAAAAGCATGGGCTGTATCTTGTATATTTATTATTAGCTATGTAAATGGTAAATGGACCTGTACTTGTAAAGCGCCTTTCTAGTCTTCAAAGCGCGTTAATACAGTGATGGCAAAGCCCATCGAACAGAAACTAACTCATTCATACACATTCACACACCAATGCAAATTTGTACTTATTCCCTCACCCAATAAGAATCGATAAGAGAATCGATAAGGAATCGGCTCGATAAGCAATACCGATAATGGAATCGGAATCGTTAAACTCTTATCAATTCCCATCCCTGGTGAGAATGATTCTAGACTTCCTCATTGAAGCAATTGCAGTGGTTAACACGTCTCTTCCCTTTTGCGTAAGTTAACTGAATGGTTGGTTGAATGATGAAGTAAATGTCTATGAAGCTACAACATGCTTTGAAGGTGGTACATAGTTACTCATTTATTTTCTTTCAAAATGTGCAATGTTTATTTTGTTTCTATTATATAGAATATCACAAGCCTCACCGAAGAGTACAAGTGCTCCTCCAGATGACTTTGAAGGACTCCAGATACCAGACTTGCAGGAGCAAGATGGCGCCAGTGTGTTTGTTGGCTTGCTGTCAGCTCCGTCAACTCTTACGTGTCCGTTTTGTGCTATGTTTGTTTGTGTTAGCACACATGCTATGTTGTCGCTGTTCTGTTGCTGCTACATGACTTGGACCTATGATCAGCAGACTTTGCTGCATCTCAGAAACGCACTGGTGACCCATACTAGTGGGTCTCCTGTCCCTTACAACAGATGTCACCCTCCGTTTATCTACCCCACCGCGTAGTGTGTCCTTCGGCTACCTTGCTGCATCTCTTACCGGCAGAAGCGTCAGAGGCGCCGAGGCAAACGCGGAGGTGTCCGGTTGAAGATCAGGAGAGGAGCGAGTGTTTCTCCCGCACAACCAGGGCCCTGCCAGCTCTCTGCAGCCCATCTAGGTCGGAAAGATCTCTTCCTGGCTCGTCGTTCGTGGGATCTAAGGTACTCCTGCGATGTATCCATCACTCTGCATCGACCCCAAACGCCTGTTTGCCCTGCTCGACTGAGACTGCGTATCCGTAGTGGTGGGGTAAGTTCCCTGAACATCCGCCCTTTGGAATACTCTCGATGCCCCCAGGCTGCGGTTCACTCCAATGCGAAAGTGGCCCTGGTCAACAGCAGGTCTGTGTCTAATAAGACCTTCGTTCTAAATGACTTTTTCTCTCATCACAATCTGGATTTCTTGTTTTTAACCGAGACATGGATTGGCACTGGAGTTGGCCAGTCTTCTGTTTTCGGTGAACTCTGCCCAACCAACTGCTCAGTCATTAGCACGCCGAGGTGCATCGGAAGAGGAGGCAGTGTGGCTCTTGTTTTTAGGAATAACTTTAAATTACGGACACTTTCTGCAGGGAGTTTCTCCACCTTCGAACTGCAATGCGTAATTGTAGAATCTGCTATGTCCCCATTGCTTTGTGTACTGATCTATAGGCCCCCTAAGCCTGACAAAGACTTTATAACTGAATTCTCTGACTTTCTCTCCCAGCAAAAAAAGCTAGAGCAAAGCATCTCTCTGATTTGATCAGTAAAAATTTTATTTAACACTATAAACTTTGTTATCAATCCCCCAAATTCCCCAGTCGCTGATGTATCCACTGATACCTGTGAGAATTTTTTTTTACCAACAAAATTGAGAACATTAGATCATTCTTCACCCCACACCTCATCTGTTACTCCGCCTGATTGCTCAGGTGTATCAGCTATTTTTACCCAATTTCAGCCCATCACTTTCACTGAATTGAGGGACTTAGTATTGCACATGAAACCTACTACATCACCCCATGATGCTATTCCCTCCTCTATTATAAAGGATGTTTTTGATGCAGTTGGCCCCTCCATTCAGATCATTTTGAATTCATGCCTTGCATCTGGCACTGTCCCCACATGATTTAAGCATGCGGTTGTCCAATCCCTGCTTAAAAAGCACAACCTTGATGCCAACTGCCTAAAAAAACTACCGCCCCATCTCCAAGCTTTCTTTTATTTCTAAAGTTCTGGAAAAAGCTGTTCTGTCACAGCTGATTCCTTTTCTGACCACTCACAACCTACTAGAACCTTTTCAGTCAGGTTTCAGACCCCTTCATAGCACTGAAACAGCCCTGCTTAAAGTAACTAATGATTTGCTTCTCACACTAGATTCAGGTGATAATGCCATCCTCATATTACTGGATCTTAGTGCCGCCATCGACACCGTTGATCACAACATCCTCCTCACCCGCCTTGATCAGCAGGTGGGCATTAGGGAGACTGCACTACTCTGGTTCTGCTCCTATCTCAAACATAGGACTTTCTCTGTGTCTATCGGTCAGTTCTCATCATCACCTGCTCCCGTCTCATATGGGGTCCCTCGGGTCCATCTTGGGTCCTATGCTCTTCAGCCTGTATATGCTCCCACTGGGTGACATTATAAGAAAGCACAACATCTCTTTTCACCTCTATGCGGATGACTCACTGCTGTACTTGCCTCTAAAATCTAGGGACTCCATACAATCCCTTCTGGTCTGTCTTGAAGACATCAGAAATTGGATGGCTAACAACTTCTTCCAGCTAAATAGTGACAAGACAGAAGTCATCATTTTTGGTCCTCCCAAGGCAAGATGCACTGTAGTGCAAAACTAAGGTCACCTCATCCCATCTGTCAACCCCTATGCCAGAAACCTGGGTGTCATTCTCGACTCCGAACTCTGCTTTGACAAACAGATTAGCTCTGTGTCAAAAATAGTTTTTACCAGCTCAGAATGATCTCCCGCCTCAAATCTTTCCTATCTCACAATGACCTTGAGAAAGTTATCCATGCCTTCATTACATCACGGCTGGATTATTGCAATTCCCTCTACCTTGGCCTCCCCTAATCCTCACTTAGATGTCTGCAGCTGGTCCAAAACACAGCTGCGCGTCTTCTAACTGGCACCAGGAGGCGTGAGCACATCACCCCCATTCTGGCCTCCTTGCATTGGCTCCCAGTTCATTTTAGGATTCAGTTCAAAGTTTTATTATTTGTTTTTAAGGCACTTAATGGGCTGGCCCCAATATACATCGCTGACCTTGTACAGCCCTACTCTGTTCAAAGGTCCCTGAGATCCTCAAATAAAGGGCTTCTGCTCACGGCTCAAACAGAGGGGTGATAGAGCTTTTGCAGTTGCTGCTCCACCTCTTTGGAACCAGCTCCCCCTGGATATTAGATCTGCCCCCTCCATTTCTGCCTTCAAATCCAAGCTAAAAACCCACTTTTACTCCCTGGCCTTCCTTGTTCCCTTACCCCGTACTCATGCTCATCCTATGTATTTCTGTGTTGTGTGCCCTGATATTGAAGGTTTCCTTTTATTCATGTTTTATAGAATTATTGACTATTGGTCCAATGTGTTTTTTCTGTATTATTTGTCTTTTTAGTTATCCATTGTACAGCACTTCGGTCAGTTTATGCTGTGTTTAAATGTGCTTTATAAATAAAATGTATTTATAAAATACAGCTCTCATGCCACTCTCAACATCAAGGCAAACCTCATGTGCATACCATCCATTGGCACAATGGACAGTTTACCATCACGTCCCGTATTTCATGATTCATTTTCTTATTTATATATATTTATTTGTTTATTTATTTTGATGATTATATACAGAACCCCAGCACTTCAACTAAGAAATGAATGAGCAAAGAGGTCCTGTATATAATCAATAATAATAACATTAAGAAATGGTGAAATAAACATTGCACAGTAAAGTAAAACTATTAACTATGTAGCACCTACAAAGCATGTTGTAGCTTCTTAGACATTTGCTTCATCATTTAACTTACGCAAGAAGGAAGAGACGTGTTAACCACTGCAATTGCTTCAATGAGGAAGTGAGTTGGTCCTTGTTGTTGTGACTTACTCTGCTCATCAACATGGCTCTTCATCTTAGTGTTCTTCTCATCTTCACTGGACTCACAGGTCAGTCACAGGGGTCCTTTTATCATTCGATTTATCTAGCACACACATAAGTAAATGGAGGATGATGTGACAATAACTAACATGATGATATCGTCATAATTACAATCAAATTAATCAGATTGATTCATTAAATATCAGTTGGTTGAGTAATAACTTAATATCATATAATATTTACAGTAAAATGGTTTTATGTTTCTTGTTGCAGGAATTCACAGCATAACTACAGTCAGTGAAGGAGTACACACACCATGTCAAACTCTTGTGTAAAGGATCTAACTGGGGGTCCCACTCCTGCAAAGTTAAAACTGATCAACCAGACATTTCAGAAAGGTTTTACATTTTTCACTGTGACTATTAATAATCTTATGATGGAGGACACTGATTACTAGAGACCCAGCACTAGTAAGGATCATTCTACTATTATAAAATGTTCAGCTGTAAATATTTGCCACGTGCAGCCATTAGTAAAGGTTTGCATTTAATATAGAAGTGATATTAGTATTCATTATTGTGACATTGCATGTAGTTTGCTCCTCTTTTTTCAATTTTTTTATTTATTTGTTTTTGTGCATTTATTGCCATTAAAGGGGAAATATTATGCAAAAACCTGAACGTGTCTGAACCACTTCGTGTCAGACTGTTTTCTATAATAATGTACGTCCCACTTAATATCTTAACATAGAATACATACATTATAGCAAATGTAACAGAATATTTAAAATACAGCAAGTTTTTTAAATAAAGTTATTACTGAATGAGTGAACCGGGCACAGGCTCCAGCTCTGTGGCTGCTGAAGGGCTCGAGCATCAGATGGTGCATCAGATGCTTCAGATGGTGCAATAGGAAATCATATAAAGTAAAATCAAAATTACATAATGTAGAGTTGCAAGTACAGTCCTGTGCTCTAAAACAGCATACAGCAACGTTAATACTGTAACAAAGTGCTCACTGACATGCAGAAGAGAGGGAAAGCTGTGTGCAGCCTGTGTCTTTTACACACAGCCGGGCTGGCAGTTGCCACTGTACAGTAACTATGAGTGTTTTACTGTCTCACTGTGGTTTCAAAATAATAAAAATAAACATGAACTAGTTACAGTATCAGGTATCTGAATGTGCATCATGAACCAATTACATGATGCCTAAACTTGTTGAGACTTGAAGTACAGGGTTCAGTTACTGAGTGTATGTACAGTATATTCAGGTGTATTCAGACCAAACGCAAACATTTTTTCACGCAGCCTGATTACATAGGCTATAGTCAATGCAAAGGCGTGAATATACACAAATTGACTTTGGTTGATGCGAAGAGACACGACAATGTTTCAGCTTGAGCAGAAAAGTCTTACGACACCGTGTTTCAAAAGCCAATCAGCGTTGAGATTTAAACTTATTGTGGCCTCTGTGGGCGCCATGTGTGAGCTCTACGATTCAACATCTTTACTGTGCAGAGACAGAACAAGAAAAATGTGAGCAAAACTATATAGGAGTACATGGTAAGTTCTGAATATATATATGTAAATATATATATATATATATATATATATATATATATATCTGTTACTGGATTCCAGCTATCAGTCGTACTTTACTCCAGAGAAATACTATTCCTACTTCACTGTTATGGCTGAATATTCACGGGGTGTGAAATAGTTAATTCACATGAGCAATGCGACACCAGTTAATCTTAATGTGTAAACATGATGTGTTAGTGTCTCTTGGTCCAATTAACAGAGGGGCAAATTCAAAGCCGCACATGAGCGACAGAGCCACAGTCTGAGTGTCTGGATTGTGAGCAGTCTGGTTGAGTACCGTAATATCTTTCTCCAGCCCCGAAAGAGTAAACTAGTAAAATATGTTTTGAAGCATCAGGTGGAGGTTCAGAGGAAAAGTTTGCTCCAGATAGCTCATCAGTAATTAGATAAAGTCAGTAAAACGGCTGTAGGCTATATGGCGCTCATTCTGAGGACGGCTGCTTTATTCTGCTTTATTCTGAATTTCTGTGTTGAGAAGTAAAGAATGTGATTAAGCATTAGATTCTGTCACTGTGATGGAGAAAGTGATTCAAATATGAACTTTCAAGCTCAGCTGGATTAATGTGTTCATGGTGGGACAAAAATGCCACTTCTGGGAAAAGTTTTCAGGTCAAGCAAAACAATATTTTACATTTCCATGGTTTTAGTTGTGAATGTGAATTACTATGGTAATTCTGTACTCATGAATGTGATAATACATGACTTCTGGTACAGTAAACAACAAGCATCTTAACAGTTTTCTGTGCATCATGGTATGTTGGAATGACTTACATAACGTTTAATTTAATCCCATACAAATTTATATTTGACATCTTTCATTTTGTCTTTGTAAACTGCATCAAAGTACTCCGCTTCTGTCCCTGTCAGTTGGTTTTTCCAGTCTCCGGCAATTCCTGAAACACAACGTGCAAAAAGAGGAATCATAATGAAGTTGAAGAAATGGTTTGTAAAATTGAGGTCCTATTTTAAACATACTACAAGAAGTTTTTAACTGGTTATGAAACTGTCTTAATTTTACACTGATGCCTCTATATGACCTACGTAAATAAGACCATCAGCAAGAACATTACACATGCCACTGGGTCAGGTGGGGCAGATTGCCCTTGAAATCAGTAAAACAAGGCAGTAGGAACACTGCTGCTTTTGTCCACAGGGGTCACCAGAATCAACACAAAAATGAAAATTCCTTGTAGCTGCTTTAAATTGTGGTTTTTGTCACAAAATGACAGTATGTCATTTGCCACATTGCATAAAGTGTGTGTATAATCAAACTGTATCTAGTTATTCTCAGTAAATGTCATTTGGCTCTATAGATCGCACCCAACAACAGTGGAACTGAAATAGTACTGTATATGCATTAATTAAGGAAAATTACCTTTCCTGAGAAATTCCGACTTTGTCTGGTCCATGAATTCACGAGGAACTAAAGAGTAGTTTGACATTTTGTTCTGCTTCATGTTCTTGAACAAACATCGGTCTGCGATCTTCTCAATCACCTCAGCATCCAGAGATTTCTCCAAGAACTGAGAGATTCTGACCACAGAGTCCTTCAGGTCCTGCACCAGAGAAACACACATCATCTCATATTCCTATTCATATTCCTATTCTCACTGTATGACTGTGTATTCTTGTGCTGTTAGAATTGTTTATAAAATGTTCTGAAGAGATAATCTCACCATTATCAGCTCTTCATAGGAGATGTACATTATGTGCTCTTTATCCTCAGCATTCAGCCAGCTCTTCACATGATCAAACCATGAGCCAAACATAACTAGAAGAGAAAGAAAGTCACAAGTTTTCCATTATCATGAGTAAATGACAACTTTTCATATTATTAATGGTCCTTTTGCAATGATCTTCATGGTGTTTAACACCGGCCATGTGAAATCTTGTTACATTGAACAATGAGAACAACCTTTTCCATCCAGGAACTTGTGGAGGAACTCGCTCTGTGGGCCTGGCTTTACCAGGAAGTTTGTAATCCCATGATAGTGAAAGGAAGACGTAAAGACATCTTTGGGGTTCCTCATGATGTAGATGACCTGCAGTGATAAGACATTATTTAAATCATTAAGCTTTGAACACTCAGAATCTGCTCTGCTTTTATTTGCCACATAACATTTGTATAATGTGCTATTTGTTGTTGACATCTTTGTCTGACTATATTACAGCAAGCCAATGCCCATATTTATAGCAGCCACTTTGTCCTCTCATAACATGACAACCACAGATGAAACATATAAGACTAACTGTGACTCAGATCTAATGAAGCCAGTCAGTGGGGAACACTTGGGACATGTTTTCACTGTTTTCCCTATTTAGTCCATCAGATTGATCTCAGTGGTGCAGTTCTAGCTGTGATCTGCCCATCACTATAATGCAGGTTGTTATTCATGTGCAGGTGTTTGTTACACAGGTAACAGGCTGCTCCATTACCATTTACCTGGAACATTATAGCAACCACTTTTACATCCCGTCCTCCCACGTTTGTATGCCTGGATGCCATACTTCCTAACATGTAAAATCATCTAAACTCAAACCTCAAAAAGGTGTCTGTTGCATTTTACATCACATTAATTTAAACATATATACCATAGGGGTGGGCGATATGGGCAAAAAATAATATCTCGTTATTTTGGGGTATTTTGGCGATAACGATAATCAGTCGATATCCTTTAAAATGTGATTGGAATTGTCTGAGTTAGGGCTTGTGTCCACCAAACGCGTTTTTAGCGCTGAGAGCCCTCAAAAACTCATTTTCCGAGCGCCCAGTGGTGTTAAAAGTTGAACAGATTTCAACTTGAAGCTAAACCATTTCCATGCCAGAGAGGTAGACCCATGTCTCGGCACTAAATCATCTGAAGTACCGGTAGCTTCAGAGACTGGAGGTGCTTGCATTTTCTCTCTACCATCACAACGCGCTACTAAACTGTTGCAAGGAGGATGCTAGCGAGAGGTTATATGATCACGTCATGTGATCACTTAGGCCCACTAGTCGTGTGACTGAATCCTGCCATGCTTCAGTGAGTGTTGCTGCACCATGTATTAAGCGGATGATAGGAGTTTCCGCGTGCATTTCAATATTTTTGGCGAAGTAATTTAAATACTCCATAATGGAAATTTTCACATCTTCAAAACAACAATGACAATATTATCACAAACGATATATATCGCCCACCTCTAATATACCATCAGTTTAAATTCTTTAATGATCCATGACACAAACTATATGGAAGCTTTACCTTTGGCTTGACTTCAAAGAAGGACGGTGGCATCATGTTGTATTGGTAATGTGTAGAAAACATGCGTGGGGACGGCCTCTGATCGAGGTTAAGGACGCAGGCTTGTTGTTCCTCCAGCCAGGGAACACGGTCCCAGTTAGGAAGAGTCTCAACAGAAGCTGGATCTCCACCGCTCATGATCAGAGGGACAATCTCCTGCATCCAAGTCGTACCTAAACAAAGGAAACAAGGTTTTTTGTATAGATACACTAATGACTAATGTACATTTTCTCAATTTATCTTTTGATTTAGCTTTTATTTTGGCCCTCCAGATGATGATAATAATGGTATGGAGTTTTTTTAGAATGATACAACCTATGCAGCACCTTAAAGTGAATTAAGCACTGTCTGGAAGAACATGTGTGTACATAGTGTAGGCTATCATCACAGATGTTTCTAGATATCTCCCCACCCAGTTCTTTTTCCCAAGCTCATTTAATAGTCTCTGTGGAGGGAGAATTTATCATACAAGAGGGTTATATTTTTCATAGTATTAGAAATAGCTTTAAGGCAAGCAGTATGCTGTAAATGTTTGCCCTTTCTGTGTGTTTTTAAACTACTTTACTAATTAAACATCATGTGCTTGTTATTAATGCTGTTATTAATGACTCCTGAGAAAACATAGTTTAGATACCAGTCAGACTGGTTGTGAAAGATCTTGTAGTGTGTGACCCACTGTTACAGACCAGTCATGTATGTGAAAACCACAACTTCAAGACTCCAGATTTCACAACTTGAAAGTCTTGTAGTGTGTCCAAGGCTTTAGCTTTTGTGAATGCTGTCTTCATTTGCCCTCGAGCTACCAGCAGAGACTGCCTGTTTAAATTAAAAGAGGGTGGAACTTTAAAACAAAGCAGCCTGCACTATGTAGCCTAAATGTAGAACAGACTTTCGTGTCATTCCAGGAGAGCAGTAATAGGCAGCAGAATGTTTGACAAACCTGCTGGCTACTTCTGAATACCTTCACACACATACCGCGATGATGAAACTGTAATTGTGCCATTAAGTTAATATGTAACGAGTCGCTGTAGCTCCAGTTTACAATTTCACTAGAGGTACTGTAAATGACCTTTAATATGGTCCAGCATATTTCATTTTATTTTTATTAATATTTTAGGAGTTATTGTTAAGTTACGTTATCATTTGGCCTATTGTTTTTTTATATTAAGGTCAGAGCTTTTATTTTTAAAGGGTATTGCTGTAAAAGGGAAAAAGGTGTACGGTAGCTCGTCAAGTGTGTCCGCATTACAAAGCGTGCTTGAAAATGATTGTTATTTTGTTTATCTAGCACCCAGCTGATAAGGACACAAGGTTTGTTACGATTTTGTTTTATGTGGTGTTTAATGTTAAGTCATATTGTGGCACTTCTTTGTGCTTTTGTAGAGTTTTAAGCTTAATTTGCTTCCTAGTACGGTATAAATAAATGCAGCATTTGTGTGTTTACAGTAGCCGCAGTATACAATATTAAAGCTGCATATGTGACATAAAAATGACTATAATTTAATAACTTTATGTTAAATATATGCACTTATAGCACTCTGTCAGATATTGTCACTGAGCTAAAAGGGTGTTAAAAATATTTGATGATTTGGATATAAATTGTGATTGATTTTTGATCAGAAATTAAAACGACATGGTTTTGGTTAATTAATTAATTCAATATTGTAAGGCTATAGTACAATAAGCTTGTCATCAGAATATAAAAGTAGATTAATATTTTACTTTTGTTTCTATCTATAGCTCTTACGGTTCCAGATGTATTTAAGGTTTAAGTGAGCTACAGAGTCGTCATGTTTGCTCAGTTTTCAGGACAAACCCAGGCAGAACTCACACATAAGCTCCAGCGGAAAGCAATGAATGGGTTTCCAAACATTAAGAATATAACAGGCTGGACTTAAATTGCTATTTTATTTCTTCTCTTTCACGTTAATGTACGAAATTCCACTTCTGAGTCGTCATATTTAGTTTAAAGGACTGTCTAACTTACTAACTACATAAATGTTACATTATATATCGAGACACATTCAACAAGTAACAGTGACAGCTCACCTGACTTGGGATATGTTGCAATGATGACATCATCCGGGCGGAAAGAAAACTCCTCGTAGTATTTCAGGCTCTGTGGAGGGTGAAGGAGTGAGGGCATATAGACCCCCTTGTACAGCGTGTGTAACTCTGCCTCAGTCATAGTTCAAAGGGAGAAACAGAAGAGTGTCTGCGGCTGAGGGAACTCATACAGTGACAGTAGTCTGCTCAACTATTTATTACTTGACTCTCTCTCTTCCCTGCCCTACATAAACATATTCTAATAGAAAGGAATTTGGGTATGTTGATCCTTGTGGGCGGATCTAGATAAATGTAGAAATATAACCATGGTTGTAGGGGTAGTCGATTAACCATTTTGAATCATTTTCTAAGAAAAATTGTCAGTCCTCTATTACAGCAAACTGAATATTTGAGGACGTCACAGTGATCAACATTTTTTACCATTTTGTGACATTTTATGGACCAAACAACTGATCTATCAATAGAGAAAATGATTGACAGATTAATTGATAATGAAAATAATTTGACTGCATAATGCATGCACGGTGCCACTGTATGCCTTTAAACCATGTCCATATGCTTCTCTCATTATTTATGTAGGTAACACTCTGCACTTGGAATGGGTTTGAACATTTCACTCACATCATTTTAGCTTCAATCAAGAGTTGAACAATGATGACAGTGTAGAATGAGATAATTCCAGACATAAATAATAACAGAAAAAATACATTAAAAGTAAAAAAAGGTGAATGATATTGTCTAATGATCTCATAAAAAGAAAATTTGGGAAGGCAGTCGCCCTATGAGATGTCACTTTGGACAAGAGGAACTGAAACTTTTTTTTTTTTAAGTATGTTTTTGGGGCTTTTATTGTAGTGATAGCTGAAGAAGGACAGGAAGGGGGGCAGAGAGAGAGGGGATGACACACAGCAAAGGGCCACAGGTCGGATTCGAGCCCTGGGCCACTGCAGTAAGGACTCAGCCTCGGTACATGGGTCGCCAGTTCTACCCACTGAGCTATCCGGGCGCCCAAGGAACTGAAACCTTTGCTTATTTTCAATCACACACTGCATGAAAAGCACTGAGCTGTGATTCATTTGCATTAAAGTCAAAAACACACATAACTAGCCTTGTCCTCTGAATCACTGCCTTGTCTGTGATTTGTTCAATGATGTATGATCAGTAGTCAATCAAATAATCAAATCAAGTCTCTGATCAGGCTCACACAAAACAAAAAAGTTTCTAAACTTTGCAAGACCAGGACATGGTCACTGGAAGTGGTGTATTACAAGTGTTTGAGGCATAAAGCTCTGTCTCATCCATAGACACCATGTGTCACATCCACTAGGCAGCATGGGAAAAAGCTGATGGAGTGTGAGAGACGTGCGATATTTTTTGCATTGCTTTTCCAGTAAGGTCATTGCACTCCCTTGAGATATATTGCAATATCATTATGGTGAGAATTATTTGAATCTTGATACTAGAAATAAAGGCCAGTACTGAAATCTTTGTTTACTATATTCATCGTTGTGGCAGTTGTCGTCGTCATCATCTTCTTATTCTTCATCATCATCATCATCATCATCATCATCATCATCATCATCAGTCATTTCCATTAGTAGGCTATAGTTGTTGCTACTGTTGTTGTGCACCTTTGTCTCTGTCGTTCTCTCTTTACCCCTCTTCCCCCTCTCTCTCCCTCTCTCTCTCTTTCTGTCACCCCAACTGGTCGAGACAGACGACCACCCACCTAGAGCCGAAGGGTCTGTCCGAGGTTTCTGCCTCTTAAAAGGAAGTTTTTCCTTGCCGCAGTCGCCAAGTGCTTGCTCATGGTGGTACGCTTGGGTCTGTGTGAATGTTAAGGAGTTCGGTCTACACCTGCTCTATTTGAAAAGTGTCCTGAGATAACTTCTGTTATGAATTGGTTGTATACAAATAAAACTGAATTGATTTATATTTTATTATTGTTGTTATATTATTATTATTACTGATCTCAGTATTGCTAGTATCATTAGTTTAGTCATATACTATGTGAAAAAATTTCTTACGACTAACCGTTGGACAACCATTGTTTGTCCCAACCATTATCAACAACTCAGTTTCATTAGAATCCCATCTTGTTAATCATTTCACAAAAAGATTTCTGCCTGTATTCTTCTGTAAATAGGACATTTATACAAATGATTAATAAAATAGTTACTTTTAATGTGGTCTTTCTTTCATCAACTCATAATGCTCACATTTAATGATGTCATTATTACAGCATTATTGTTCATAAATAACGCTAAACTAACTAAATAGAGCGAAGCCTGCGAGCTAGTTCAGGCAGGTCAACTCGAGCTGCGCTGATTACACACATGACATGCCTTATTCCATAATCACTAACCAAGCACCCCCTTCCAATCCGGCGGTCTATTTAAACTGCACAATTTCCCAGCTCTCCCTCTGCTCTGTCAATGCCGCTGTTGCCCTGCATCCGTATTGCTGCTGCTGCTGCTGCTCTGTAAGCCCCACAACCACCCCAGCATCCACCTGTAGGCTCCGACTGGAGGTTAAGGTATTTGCGCATCACTCCTCAATATCTCTATGTAAACATATCTGTGGGGAGTGATGAGGTCGGAGCCTAGACGCCAAAATCTAAATATGCTATACTGCTTTAATAAACATTTCAAACGTGAGTTGGCTGACTGAACTAAAGTTAAACTGGGTCAGTTTAAACCAGTGAGTTTTAGTGTGTTAAGAGTTACTGTCACACGTTTTTAAAATGTACTATGAACTGTCACTGCTCTAAAGCATTTTCACAATCCTCAAAAATATTCCATCCACTGCTCAATTAACAAATATCATCAAAGACCAACAAAACTGAATACACAGAACTGGCAGGTGCTTCTGCTCCTAAATTTACTGATAGGTTTTACATATAATTGTGTAAAAATATAGGAAGTAAGAGTAGAAAGTTGAAAAATAAATCCTCTAGTACAGATGGCTGAATAAAACAGTAACAAAGTATTTGTACTTTAACAACGTAACAAAGTATTTGTACTTCCCACCTCTGCCAGACATTAAGATGATGTGAAGGGTAACTGGTTTAAAATAAGACTCAGCAGCCAGTCTGTAGACTTTTAAAGTGATTTTCTACTCATATGCTTTCTTTTTGAAAAGTGTAGCCTACGTCCATGCTGATGACCTATTGTATGAGCCATGTGCTCATGTACACATTAGCTACTGGATCTATGCAGGGCAAGCAAGAGAGAGAGAGAGAGACCTTAAGAGAGTCATTAGCAGTCAATAGTCACTGTATGAGTTACCTCAGCCGCAGACACTCGGCTTTGAAGTATGACTGAGACAGAGTTATACACGCTGTACAAGGGGGTCTATATGCCCTCACGTCTGCACCCTCCACAGAGCCTGAAATACTACGAGGAGTTTTCTTTCCGCCCGGATGATGTCATCATTGCAACATATCCCAAGTCAGGTGAGTTGTCACTGTTACTTGTTGAACGTGAGCACCAATGAAGCTGTAAAATTGAGATCAGATGTATTTTAGTGCAGTTATTTACACAATCACTGCTTTCTTGTGGAGCTTCATGTGAAAAAATTGCCTCCAATGAGGTCACTTCTGTACCATAGAGCCTATTTACAGTCTGTGTAAACAAGATTATGTAAGACTACAAAAAATAACAATGATCCGCCCAGGTTAAATTTGAAAAACTGTGTAATTTGAAGTATCATAGTTACATTGTCAAAAACAACTCGTTTAGGATTTTGATTACATCTTTAAAATTTGGCAGTTTTGGGGCTCCCTGATGCCCCATGTACCAAAGCTGAGTCCTTGCTGCTACGGCCAGGGTTTGGACTCCGACCTGTGGCCCTTTGCTGCCTGTCATCCCCTCTCTCTCTACCCCTTTCCTGTCACTATTGATTAAAAGCAGTTGGGGTACTTTGAGCTTGCTCTGGATCAGTGTATTCAATTTGAAATCAGACATTGCATATGAGGGTAACGGGGCTAAAACCTGTGAATAAGTTTCAGAGCAAGACCACCTGTCAGTTCTGTGTATTCAGTTTTGTTTTTATAGCAGTGACAGTTGCTAGTACTTTAAAACAAATCTTGACAGCGATTCTCCAGACACTAAAACACACTGGGTTAAACTGACCCAGTGTGGGGTCAATATAGCACAGATGCAATACTGGTTTAATTTTTACCCCGTACTAATGAGTAGAAAACCACCAAAAGAAGGGCTGTTTTGATCCAGTAACCCAACAGTAAGTAGACCAAGTTAACCCAGTACTGCAGTGGTGCTATGGTCAGTGCAGACTGGGTAAATGTTTAGCCCTGTGTTTTTTAGTGTGCACAATGCAGAATAAAATGGTCAGTCATTTTAGATCTTCTTAGAAGATAATGATTGTAAATAAAATGTATGCAGTTAAACATGCATTCTCTCTAACAGCCAGCTGGGGGCAGCTCCATTGACAGCAAAAAGAAGTCTGTTAATATTGAGTTTTATGGCAAAATCAAGATCATGATCTTCTTCAAGCCATTCCATTGTTTAAAACATGGTCCCATTCAGAGTAAAATAGACGATAAAGAAGGGTATGCTTTCGGTCATGGCTACCTTATGATTGACAGGTCATTCTCAGTGAGTCTGTCCAGCACAGCACACCAAACTCAAAATGCAGATTTTCATAAATTTGGTAATAACGTCAATTTAATTCAGTTTACAGCTCAGCTCAAAAACATGTTTTAGGGTGAAGTACCTCTTAAAAAAGTTCCATGTTCATACGAACATGTTGTAAAAACACCACAGAACACCATGTTTACAACTCTTTCCTATTCCTACGAGACACAGTGAGGAGAAAATGATGCATGCCCAAAAACAGACAATTTTGTCTAAACGGACACTTCATTGTCTGTTAAGACAAAATTGTCTTGTGCTTGCAGTGTGAACATAGCTATTGGGTCAGAGATTTTTCACAATATGAATTATAAATAATTAACAATAGTGATAGCGGCTTGTGCATGGTGTACTTGTGCATGCAGCATTAAATGGGCATGAACACAAGAAGATAAGATAAGAATTTACAATAACAGCATAGTTACCCACACTTTGGAAGGCCATGCCAAAGGTGAACGCAGACATTTTTTTTTGTTATTTGACTGAGGAGGCAAAAAAAATAGTCTCACAAGAGCTGAGAACATGAACGACAATATGTGAACTACAGATTTCAGTAAACCTTGTTTCCTTTATTTAGGTACAGTTTGGACACAGGAGATTGTCCCTCTTATCATGAGCGGAGGAGATCCAGCTTCTGTTGAGACTCTTCCTAACTGGAAGCGTGTTCCCTGGCTGGAGGTGTATCAGGACTCCGACCTTGAACAGAGGCCATCTCCACGCATGTTCTCTACACACTTCCAATACAATATGATGCCACGATCATTCTTTGAAATAAAGCCAAAGGTAAACCTGCCATATAGCTGTGTTGTGGATCATTAAGGTATTCAAGCCAGTATTTAAGTTCTAATTCGCTTCCACCTGTGAAACATTCTAAGCAAGTTTGAGATAAAGTAACAGACATGTACAAATTCAGAAATGGTTACAAAATAAAAGGGTTTACACAGTGTAACCCCACTGCATCAGATGGTCTGTTACACAGAACCAGGGAAGGCAGAAAATACTTGGCGGGTGATTGGATGAACCATCTGTCAATCACTATCGCAGGTGAACTTCAGTCACTGTTTCAATGAAAATTGATTAATGGATGTCTTATCACTGCAGGTCATCTACGTCATGAGGAACCCCAAAGATGTCTTTACGTCTTCCTTTCACTATCATGGGATTACAAACTTCCTGGTAAAGCCAGGCCCACAGAGCGAGTTCCTCCACAAGTTCCTGGATGGAAAAGGTTGTTCTCATTGTTCAATCTACAGTATTAATTTATAATACAATACACATTGTATGGAATAGCTATGGGCTTTCATCTGGTAACAAGATTACACATGGGCGGTGTTAAACACCATGAAGATCATTGCAAAAGGACCATTAATAATATGAAAAGTTGTAATTTACATGTGATAATGGAAGAAATTGTGACTCTCTTTCCCTTCTAGTTATGTTTGGCTCATGGTTTGATCATGTGAAGAGCTGGCTGAATGCTGAGGATAAAGAGCACATAATGTACATCTCCTATGAAGAGCTGATTATGGTGAGATTCTCTCTTCAGAACATTTTATAAACAATTCTAACGGCACAAGAATACACAGTCATACAGTGAGAATAGGAATATGAATAGGAATATGAGATGATTTGTGTTTCTCTGGTGCAGGACCTGAAGGACTCTGTGGTCAGAATCTCTCAGTTCTTGGAGAAATCTCTGGATGCTGAGGTGATTGAGAAGATCGCAGACCGATGTTTGTTCAAGAACATGAAGCAGAACAAAATGTCAAACTGCTCTTTAGTTCCTCATGAATTCATGGACCAGACAAAGTCGGAATTTCTCAGGAAAGGTGAGCCTTAGAGAGAGAGATATATATATATATATATATATATATATATTTTCATGTAGAAGCCCTCTTTCTACATTGAGTGTTCAAAACAGTGTTGTTGAATGAGTTGTGTGCATCATTACGTATGGACATGGTAAAGCCCACCTCTGTGGACAAAACATGCCTTGCATCTAATTTCATTTGTTATATGAAGCAGGTTTACTGCAATTCATGCTTCGGGGAAAAAGGTTGGTTTGTTCACGCTGGCTTATTGAATGAAAACATGGGAACGAATTGTATCTTGTATGCAAGCAATAGCACGGTGAGTGCTCGATGCAGGCCCATCTACAGAAATGGCTGGCCCCTGATAAGTTCCAGTGAATGGGCCCTTCCCAATCTGCTTTACTCATGCATGCTCAAACTCTTCTCCCTCTTGTTCTAATACTTTCTTTCCTAGCATCACGATGTATGTGCAGGTCCTGGCATAGCAAGCACATTCACTCCAACATTTGCTAGTTTAACATTTCTAGGTCACTTTTAACATTGCATATGTGACCAGGGCAACTAAGCGCCCTGACAGCAAGTGTGACAACGCCACCCTGGGACTTTCACCCAGAGAATACCCACTTTCACAGGTTCTTATAGTACAGAGAAAAAGGAAAAAAAAAAAAAAAAGTTTCGACCACTACATTTATTTACACAGATTTAATGTCACTCTCAAAAAACCATTTGGGATAGGTTAAAATTTACGATTTATTACCAAAATATACTTATATTCACTAAACAGGTAATTACCAGTACAAGGGGGAGGGGGGGCTGTCAGGGAGGCCTACAGGAATGAGGGAGTGAGAGAAAAGGGGGGGTCACCACCACCAGTAGGTACAGGGAAGAAGAGATCACACACACACACTGCAAAACAATAAAGCACATAGTTAGAATACACAGCAACGTAAGCATGCACATAGAACCCAGACAGGGGGAAACCCTCCACCCAGTAACCCACCACCTGTAAGCCTATGACAGCCCACCTGTACAAACACTAAAAAGAGCTCCACTATATCATTAACTCACAAGTTTGGTTTATGAAAGATGATAAATAAATCCGACAACTAAATTAACCAAGAAAACACAAACCAACTATCAGAAATTAACAATCTACACAGTAAAACAAGGTAACCATATACAATAAATACATTTGTAGAAGGGCAAAAACAGCAGTAGCCAGAAGACTAGGTCATGGGAACAGACACCATGTTCCAGTTCCTACTGTAAAGAAAACACATACAAAATATATAGTGACATGTATATAATATAAACATTAATCCAAAAACATATGTTTCAGTCATTAAAATCTAAAGACCACTGAGAAGAATAGTACACAAGACATACAACTTAAAGATTAACATACCTGCAAGTTACATGAACAATTTATCCAACTAGAATCTGGCACATACACACCACTCTTCTAGTGGAGGGAGCAGCAACTACCTTCAATTAACTCCCATATTCCTGCCATTACACCTGCACAGATGTGAGGGAAGAATTGAATGCATGCGCCCACTATATGATAAACAAGCCAAGAACAATTCATACCTTAGTTGGGCATCGGCATCCCTCAAACAACTGTAGAGTCAGGGTAGGGTGAGGCAAAACCTACTGCTGACCGCTACACAGCTACATTTAAGGACTGAGAAGTGATTAGCCTCACCTGCTGACAATCAATGATTGCAGGGTGTGGCTAAACTAGAGTGGGGAGGGAACGCTACCCATCACAATCTACCCCCCCTCTTTCTGTCGGCGTCCCGTCGAAAATAAAAATAAAAACAAAAACCAAGCATGGCCTCAGATAAACTAGTTCTAAAGTCTAGCAATAGCGGAAATCATACTTCTAGACCCAGGGACCCGAGAAGTTGCAGCCTCCGTCCCTCTCCTCCATGCCGTCACAGGAAGATTATAGGGGTTTGTGTGCCTCCCTGCTATCTCCCGCTTGCATCTACGAAGGGGGACTGCACTAGGTCCTTCCATAGGATCAGCAGTGTCCATGTTTACTGGAGAAGTGGCAATAGCAAAAGGCTCCACTGATGTGGGTGGCTGAGGAGGGCAAGTAGAGGGATTGAGAGTAACTGTTGCTGGTTGAGGAATAATCCAGAACTCACCACTCTGTTCGTCATCGCCGTCACTGGCATAGGGTCTCACTGGCATACCAGGGTCTGACTCACAGGGAGGAGGAGTGGCTAACGGGACTCGTCGCAACAGAGTTCGATGGACATGTTTGATCTTTCCTGGATTGTCCAGGGGTGCAATAGAGTACACTGCCCCACTGTCAGAGGGGGCTTTAACAACTCTATACTTCATAGGACCCCAAACATCCTGAATCTTTGCCCTACCCCGAGAGCTATGGTCTTGCAAATAGACCACTTCACCATCCGTCAGGCTGCCACCGGACACCTGTTGGTCGTGCCGCTCCTTCCTAATGCGAGCTGCTGCTTGAATCCGCTCCTTGGCACCATCAAAGGCAGTCTGGAGGCGCATTTGATGTTCCTGCAACCAATCATTGACCGTACCCCCAATAGGTTCCTGGATCCTGCCAAGGAGAAAATCAACAGGGAGTGTGGGTTCTTGACCAAACATTAGAAGGTATGGTGACTCACCAGTGGTTTGATGGGTGGTGGTGTTGTAGGAGAAGGTGACATGTGGGAGATAGTTTGGCCAGTCCAGCTTCTTGGCAGGCGGAAGGGCCTGCAACAGGCCATGTAGGGTCCTGTTAAACCTTTCACACTGGCCGTTCCCCTGAGGGTGGTAAGGGGTGGTGCGCGTTTTTTGTATGCCATAAAAACTGCAAAGCTGCTGGATTAACAGGCTCTCGAAGTTCCGGCCTTGGTCTGAATGCAGTCGGGCCGGCACCCCAAACCTGTAAAACCATTCCCTGACCAGTAGGCCTGCCACTGTGGAAGCCCTTTGATCTCGGGTAGGTACAGCTTGTGTGAATTTGGAAAAGACATCGGTCATAATTAGGACTTGTTCTCTCCCATCACGAGAACGTTCTAGCAGAGAAAAGTCAATGGCTAGAATCTGGTTTGGTCGGGAGGCCATCAAGTGACTCATAGGTGTTCTCCCCTGCATGGTGTACAGGTTTGGCCAACGTACACCGTTCACATTTTTGACACCAGTCCTTGACATCCTTATACAGACCTGGCCAATAACACCGCTGTCTCACCAGGTTGGTGGTTCTCTCCACTCCTTGATGGCCGTGACCCTGATGTAATTGTTGGAGGACCTCTTCTCTCAGGGAGGCCGGTAGCAACAGCTGATAAATGTCCTCTCCACCATCCGGACGGAGGATACGGCGATACAAGAGCCCCTCTTTCTCCACCACTCGATTCCACTGGCGTACTAGTTCTCGTACTGGGTTCGAGAGGGCCTTGCGTTCCTTCCCGTCCTGAATGCGTTTGCGGCGCCAAAACTGGAGAAAAGCTCCCAACACTGGATCTGCATGTTGGAGGGTAAGGAGACAATCAGGAGTGTAAGAGGGGAGGACAGACATTGACATTTGGGTTACCGATAATGGTGGTTTGATCTCCTGGCATCTCAAGGACTCTGGGAGAGCAGTTCCAGGGAGGGCGGTCCCCAGATCCGGGTGTATGTGGGCATTTTGGTACTGCCTGGAAAGAGAATCCGCATTAGCATTAGAGCGGCCTGAGCGATACCGAATGGAGAAATCAAAAGCTGCTAGCTGGGCGGCCCATCGCTGTTCTGTTGCCCCTAGCTTTGCAGTGTTCAGGTGACTGAGCGGATTGTTATCAGTCCATACAACACACTTTTGGCCCAACAAATAATCCCGGAACTTTTCAGTCATTGCCCATTTCAGGGCCAGAAACTCAAGCCTCATGGAGCTGTAGTTGGGCATGTTCCTCTCTGATGGAGTCAAGGCTCTGCTGGCATATGCTACCGGCCTCACCTTACCATCCTGCTCCTGAGATAGCACTGCCCCCAATCCACTGAGACTGGCATCCACTTCTAAAGTAAAGAGCAGAGAGAAATCGGCAAAGGCCAACACAGGGGCACTGACCAGTCTGCGCTTAAGGTTCTGGAAGCTCTCTTCACACTGCCCAGTCCAAAGTTCCCCAATTACCTTCCGAGATGCTCTTTTTGTGCGGGAGTCTATCATTTCGGCAACCAGGCGATGAAGAGGGGCTGCGATCTTAGCAAACCCCTCAACAAAACGTCGATAATAACTACAAAAGCCTAAAAATGATCTCAACTCCGTCACATGAGTTGGCCTGGACCAATCTGCCACTGCTGATATCTTTCCTGGGTCTGTGGCCACCCCGTCTTTGGAGATCACATGACCAAGATAGTTTACCTCTGTGCGGAAAAAGCAGCATTTCTCCAACTTTACTTTCAGTTTTTCCTGTTGAAGGCGAGACAGCACTGCATCAAGGCGCTCCAGGTGCTCATCTACTGTGGAGGAGAAGACTATTACGTCATCCAAATACAGTAACAGTGTCTGAAAATGCTGGGCACCAAAGATCCGCTCCATCAGCCTCTGAAATGTACCTGGTGCATTACAGAGGCCGAAGGGCATGCGGTTAAATTCGAACAGGCCAAAAGGTGTACAAAAAGCTGTTTTTGCCTTGTCTTTCTCAGCTACTGGTACCTGATTATAGCCACTTGCCAGATCCATTGTTGAAAACCATCGTGCCCCAGCCAGAGCATCAAGAGACTCCTCTATCTGGGGTAGAGGAAAAGCATCCCTGCGTGTCTTGCCATTGAGTTGACGATAATCCACACACATCCGCAGGCTGCCATCCTGCTGACAATCAATGATTGCAGGGTGTGGCTAAACTAGAGTGGGGAGGGAACGCTACCCATCACACATACAAAAAACATTTTTGTTTTTGTTGTTTTAATAACTAATGGTGAGTATTTTGGCACATTTTGGTTATAATTGCTTATATTCATCAATCAAACTTGAACTGGAAATGGGAAATAACTAATACTACTTGTCACGCAGTAGCAATGTACTGTATTTCTACATAGAAAGATCATAATTGTAAATTGAAAATAAGAAAATTCTACATATTGTTTCTTCAACTTCATTACAATACCTCTTTTTCCTCTGTTTCAGGAATTGCCGGAGACTGGAAAAACCAACTGACAGTGGCAGAAGCAGAGTACTTTGATGCAGTTTACAAAGACAAAATGAAAGATGTCAAATATAAATTTGTATGGGATTAAAATAAACTCAATGAAAGTCATTCCAACATACCATGATCTACAGAAATATATGACAATAATACAGTTCTGAGTCTTCTAAATTGTTCTGTTTGGTTCATGAGCTTTGTGGAAGCAGAAGAGATCATCTACTATATAAGATTAACGACTGTCTTTCAAGTTTTATCCTTCCCATAGATACCAGGAGAATGTAACAATATAAATATTGTAATCACCTTCTGTATTATGTTGGAAAAACACAAACAGTATAAAATATTGAAAGTACATTAAAACAATAAATTCTATATGTATAACATGCATAATATAAATGCAGTGATTTGTTAATAAATGCTACACCTTGGGACTGAGAAGATAGTCATTCTTTGAAAAAACTGTGTTTGACAGTTCAGTCAGTCGGTGTGTCATCCCAACAGTCTGCTACTGGACAGCGTGTCTGACAGTGTATTGAATGCTCAGCAGCTGGACAAAAACAAGCAAGTAGAGTAAAGAACATCTGGCTTTAATTAGTCGACATATTTGAGCAAAACTGTCATTGTTGGAACATACTGAGAATCCAGAGCAACAACAGAGAAGTGGATATTGCAGCAATAGTGGTTGTTCCTTGTTAGACTGAGTCATCGTTGGAATCCATTAACCAAACTGCCTAACCATACAATGGGACATTGACTCTGTGGATGATAGGATGTGTTACAGCCACTAGGTGGCGGCAGGGATGAGGAGTTTAGAGGTAAAGTTGGTGGAGTGTGTGAAAGCCATGTCCACTTGATGTGTGGATATAGGGAAGAAGGGTTCAAGTTAGAAGAGTACATCTCGATCGTTGTTGCCGTCAGTATTGTTAAACACAGTGTTTGTTTGTTTGTTTGTTTGTTTATGAAGATCCCATTAGCTTCTGTATAACAGCGGCTATTCTTCCTGGGGTCCACACAGTCTGTGCGAGTGTTTGTTTCAGACTTTACAATCCGAACCAAATCACCTGCTTTTGATCTGGTGGCCAACATGTATACTATATATTACATATATGATATTATATATTATATATTATAAGTATACAGTATAATATATTATACATTATAACTCATGTACGTTATATATTACATATATCATATTATATATTATAAATATACAGTATAATATATAATAACTCATATACACTATATATTACATATATTATAAATATACAGTATAATATACAATATATTATAACTCATATACATTTTATATTACATATATTATATATTATATATTATACTATATGTCATATAATATCATGTCCCACCCAACTGTGGGTACGGTTTAGATCGGTTTTGAGAAACACTGTTCTATCCTATATCATAACTGTGTTAATGGTCAAAAACAATTCATTGTTCAGTGTGAATGAATGGGAATGACACCAATAGAGTATTAACATGTATTTATTGGTGAAACACAACAGACATGAGCTAACAATAAAAACAGCTTTAAAAGCTAGGTAATTAATAAAAAAAAACCAATAACAATAAAATCTGAAGCCTAGCCTACAGGAAGAATGAACTGGTGGACTTTCTGTGGGTATGGACCAACCTGGAAAATGAGATCATGAAAATAAGCCATCTGGTTAGTGAAGAAACACTTAAAAAATGTGACAGTAAGTTTTTATAGTTCATTTTTTCAGACAATCATAAATCAACAAGAACATGTAACAGCCATCACATATCAAATAATCATATCCAGATGAAACTAAATTCAAGAATGCTAGTGCTATTACACCTCAGTTGGTGTTTGTTATTTTTCAAACAAATGACAAAGTGTTGCAGTGACTTAATTTCAGACCAACATTACAATGGGCTGAGACTTTAGTTTCCTCATTTTCTCCTCCCATCCTCTCTGGTGGATCCTTATACATACTGTCAATGGCTGGACCCAATCAGTTCTGATTAGTAAGTTGTGTAACTGAGGCAAAGGGCTGTGTTTGTAGAAGCTAATCTTTTTTGTGCAAGCATCTATATGTACTGGCCTCTGCAGGCCATGCTCCTAATAGCACCACCTTGGTTGATGCCCTCACATGCAGAGGTTTCTTGGAAATGTTCTGCATTATCCTGGTTGTTGTTGCAAGTGGTATTTTGTTCCTGTGGTCTTTGTAGTGGTGGCCTTCAGGGGGAATGTATGGAAATCTTTGGGATTGGAAACAGTCAGTCATTAGACAAGTATTCATCTGCCACTGGCTTAAGGACTAAGGCTTTGAACAGTGGAGTCTAGAAAACAACAACCAGAACCCAACCATACCAAACACATACACCAATCAGCCATAACACAGCCATGAGAACTGACAGACAGAAGTGAATAACACTGATTATCTGGTAATCATGGCTCCTGTCAGTGGGTGGGATATATCAGGCAGCAAGTGAACATTTTGTCCTTAAAGGCTGGGTTAGAGCATCTCCAAAACTGCAGCTCTTGTGGGATGTTTCCGGTCAAAAGTGGTCAAAAGTGATCCAAGGAAGGAAAACCAGTGAACTGGCGACGGGGTCATGGGGGGCCAAGGCTCACTGATGCACGTGAGGAGTGAAGGCTGGCCTGTGTGGTCCGATCCAACAGATGAGCTACTGTAACTGAAACTGCTTAAAAGGTTAATGCTGGTTCTGATAGAAAGGTGTCAGAACACACAGTGCATTACAGTTTGTTGGTATGGGGCTGCAGAACATTCTGACCACCAGGGTGCACAGGTGGTCAGAAGCTGATCGGTGTATAAGGGCTTTTCACACTGCACTTAGCCCCAGGCGGAGAAAGCTTTCACACTGGCACAATCCGACACATTCCAAAGTGGGCTAACCCCGACTTTAATCAAGGGCAATGGTTCTCAACCTTGGGGTCGGGACCCCCACAAATGCCACCAAAGCTTCATGAGGGGGTTTAAAGGGTGTAAGAATACTTAAAAATGTTCACAGTAGGCCTATATCTGGGCATTTAGTTCATTTCTGTTAGTTCTGTTAGTTCATGTCAAAACAGAAGCCTATTAAGTAAGTATGATTGTTAAAAAAACAAAAAGTCAATACAGAGAGAGAGTTGTATAAACATTATTTTTTTTATTATATCAGGGTTGTCAGTTTACTTAATGATAGAAAAGGGGTCCCTTAAGGAAAAAGGTTGGGAACCACTGGCCTCGGGCTTGCTGGCCCTGCTCTGGAGCAGAAGTGCAGTGTGAATGGTATACCCCTGCACTCAAACTCTTCTCAGTTTAAAATCACAATGCTGTATTCACTGGAACACAGCATCAAATATACACGTCAGTCATTACTATCAATTACATTGAGCGGCTAAAACCTGGTACTCAGTTCCCCCAGGACGTAGCTCATCTTATAGTGCACTTATGTCTTCTTAACACCCATATCCTTATATTAAGGTCCATGTCCTGAACTTGAATGTTCAACAAGTTCTTATAGTCATCTTTAAGTCATCTGTGGTTTTAAAAAAACGGCAGTGAAATGGTGTCAGCATTCACTCTGTATAGCCTTAGCCATCCAGTCAGACCTGGCCACCAGCAACCTCAGCCTGTCACCTGATGACTGGATCAGCTCCTTTCCACTAGCAGACACAGCGGTGGAAGAGATGTAAAAGAAAGACAATCTGTTAGACAAATTAGGATTTTTGAACAAGATTTTGCTCAGTTTTAAACTTCAATCATTCTTTACCTCTGGTAGTCCAGTCCAAGCAGACTGACTCCATTAACAGCCAGGATCCTGTCCCCAGGTGCCAGCTTCTCACACCGGGCAGCAGGAGAGTCGGGGACCACCGCACGGATGAAGATGCCCTTCACCCTCAAGGAAGACTCCTGGAAGATGAGATAAGTTAGCAAGGAACAACAGATACAAATGAGCTGTTGGCTAACTCTGGTTACTTTACTGCTGTCGGTGTTACAATAAACAATTGAAAAACTATGCATTTTTGAAAGTTTTTTTGTAGTTTCACACATTTTATACACAATTCAAAACCAAAACACAAGTTTAGGATCAAGACTCTACAGCCATGCTAGCAGGCTGCACTCAGTTTAGACACATGCTAACATCAGCATGCTAACACATTCATAAATTACTATACTAACACACTTCAGCTCCTTGGCCTTATACGACAACAGTTACTAACCAGGACATGGTGTGAAAAATATACATAGTTTTTTCCTTAAAGGTCTGTTGTGTAGGATTTTGTGGAATCTAGTGGGGTAGTTTTTCTATCTATAGCCAGTTTGTCCCTTCTTTGCTAGCCTGTAGTTTTTTGTAAGTTTTGAGTCAAGGGGTTTTAGTTGGTTGCAATCTGCTGTCTCACTGCTAGATGCCACTAAATCCTACACACTGGTCCTTTAAGGATACGTACAAAACCAACCTATGGTGATGTAAGTAATGTTACCCATGCTGCCTCACTCGTAAATATTCACGGGAACAGTAGTTTTTTATATATATATATATATATATATATATATATATATATAGTAAAACAAATGAATCGTTGTTTAACCTTAAGAAGGTTTCAACTTCTAAAATCAAGTGCTGTAGTGGATGACAATTTGTCTAAGAATACGGACAGTAAACTCGGAAACATGCTTCACTTTTTCGGAGAGACCAAAAAAAAAAAGAGTCATGTGACATGACTTCGACTCGCTATAGAAGGTAAGAGCAGAAAACTACAGAGAACCATCCTTTTCCTGCCCCCTCTGGTTTCAAGTTTCAAGCATGTTGACCTTTAACTCTGAGTTACGAAGGCTACATTTCTTTCACTCACCCTTGTGTCAACCAGAGCAAGACCAAGTCCTCTTTCACCTCGCTCCAGCTCCAAGCTAAAAAGCTCATCGTTATTGTCATCGTAATGGTCATACACCTCTTCCTCCTCCTGCTCCTCCTCTTCCTCTTTTAGTTCAATAAATCTATTAACACTGGGGCGGTCTACTTTCAGCGCAGCCAGACATTCAAACACTAATCCACCTGAGGAGAAAATAAAGGACATGTTCAGTTTTCCTTTACTGCGGACAAACAGAAGGAAACGTATGGAGCCAGAATGGTGACTTTAAAAATGGCATTCAAAACAAAACCAGTAGTGAAAAAGGAAACATTGGCATTGAAACATTTGTATTGAAAACAGTTGTATTGGCATTGAAACAAGTATTGTCACTGAAAAAAGAAACTAATTAAAATAATTAAAATCTTAAAATCTTATTATTTTATTTTATTGGGATTTTTTGTATTTTTCAATGACAATCTTCAGATTTTTTCCTCATGTCACTTTTTTTTCAGTGACAGATTTTTTTACAGTGTCACTTTTTTTCAGTGTGTCACTGATTTTCAGTTTCAACTTTCTGTCACTGTTTTGGCTCCATAAAGTCACCGTTCTGGCTCCATAGAATTGGTGGTGATGTGTTTCTGTACTGTACCTTCATCATGTGCGTCTACACCAGAGGACCAGGGAAGTGTCTCACTGTCACCCTTCACCCATTCATCCTTGCATACCTTCACCGAATCAACGGTATCTATGATGTGGGGGGTGTTGGGTGGGGTGAGGAGACAGGAGGGGTCCAGAGCTGACCTCCTAATCTCAGTCTCTCTGGTCTGCAGCTCTAGATTTTTCAGCTTCTGGGACAAAAGGAGGGCACCACAGGAGTTGAACTCATCCAGGTACTGGATGGAGGAAGGAGAGGATGGTGATGGGGGTGATGGGGGTAAGGCACCAGAGGTAGTAGAAGGGGACGGGGGGTCATCGGCAGTAGGCTGAGATGAGACGATCTCAACTGGTAAGGTTTCCAGACTGGCTTTTGGAAGGATATCCATCTTAGTCAGTTTGGCCTCCATGGGAATGACACCACCCTGGAAAAATCAATACGATCAGTATGAAAACCACATTTGAAAATTAAATCATAATTAAAAGGGCAAGACCACCAATTTTATATAGTGTGTTTACAGGTGTTGGGGACTGCTACCAAAATGAATGAATGGATTAAAAGATGTTCTGTTGCTTTGTTTTTGACAAGGATCCCAAGTTCCCTGGACTAACCTCCTGTGCAAATTGTCACTCTGCCCACTGTGCTCAGATTATAAAAAATAATGTAAAATTAGGGTACCTCAGAGGCTTATATAAATAACTTATATATATAATTATATTAAAAAATATTAAATATTTTTTTCTGCTAGAAACATCTGGGGGGCTAAATTCAACCTTTTGGGGTGGAACTTTGGGGAACCATGATTTGAAGCGTCCTCCATCCTTTATGGTGCCCACCATCGACATATATAAACATATGGTGCCCACTCTCTACCGATATAAGATAAGATATATAATTTATTAATCCCCTATTGGGGAAATTCTTATTTTTCAGTCTTTTTTTTTATTCTTACACACACACACAGGCTGAAATACACACTTCATGCACTTGTGGACTTGATGTGATGGGCTCGCCATATTAGCGGCACCCATGAGTAGTTTTCTTGGGATTAGGTTCCCTCTGCACTGCACAGGAGGAGAAACTGGCACCTCTCCAGCTACCAGTCCACACTACATATTGTGGTCTGTGGAATTTGAACCAGCGACCCTTCGGTTCCCAAGCCAAGTCCCCACACACTGAGCTACTGCCACCCTAACTGAGCTTCTGCCGCCGATATGCCACCTTTGCCACGTTAGCCAAGCATAAATCCTGCATTAATCATACTTCCCAACGTTTTTCAGTTTTATCTATATTGTTCAATATAACAAAAGGCACGAATGACGTTTTTTTGTACCTTTTGTTCCTCAGTAGCTGTGACCTTATCCGAATGTGAGTCTAAAAGGGTAGAAATGAAGTCTTTGAGCCTGTCCAGCTGTTCCCTCAGGGCTGAATCAGTTACCTCCCTTCCCAGTTGGAACTGGTAACCCCCATCTGGCAGCACCAGAGGATGGTGGGTGTCAAAACTCTCCAGGATATCAGCTAATAATAAAATCAAAAGAAAAAAATGTGTATATGAGTATCTTACAGATTATCATGTTCATTACTGATATTGTGAATTAAGGCAGGAGTCACAGCCAGTATGACCAGTATTCTGCGCTCTCACCAGTTTTGTGTGCTGCAGCCTGCTCCTGAACAGATGGAGTCCAGTTGTGTTTGCAGGGAGACGCTGGACTGTAAAGACTCAGCAGGTGGTTCAGCTGGGCCGGACTCAGAGCAGGGTAGTCAGACCGCAGGGACACCCAAGATGTCTAAACACACACACACACACACACACACACAGAGAGAGAGAGATCAACTCTATTGAAAATTAGATTTGGTTATTAAAAATGACAAAAACTAAGAAATGTATGAATGTAAATTGTATGAGAGAAAATCTTCAGGGTTGTTCATTTTACGACTGCTAGCTTGCCTTGTATTACTTTCTACAATTTTTGGGGGAAAAAATAAAAATGTTCTGCGTTTTCTTTTCATAAATATATACATATGTAGGTTGTTGTTTATTTAGTTTTGTTTCAACATTTATATTTTCTTTTACAGCTCATTTAATAATACTAACATTATTTTTTCAGAATTTTAAGTTTGGGCTTCATAGCTGTCTTAAGTGGACAATAGTTGATTTTATATATACATATTTATAACAAAATACATAATGTATCATATAATATAAGATAGAATTGTACAATTCACACACAATATTATTTTACATCCACTCTGCAGAAATGACATCCTCAGTGTCTCTGGTGATATAGCTGGATAAACCCAGCTCTGCTGAATGTGTAATGTGTGTGTTTTACCTGCAGTAAATTCTTTCTAGGCGTAGCCAGCAGATTGATAGCCGACGAGAGTGTGTGTGTGTGCTCCGAGGCCAGTTCTCCCAGTCCAGCTGCGTGGGCCCAGTCCAGGAGTATGTCGAGATTGGCCCGCATCCGTACGCCTCTAGACCACTGGTAGAAACCTGGCTCAGAGCCTGTGTACACACCAGGAGAAAGTCATCTTTAAAATAACTTCCTCTCTGTCTGTCGGTCTGTCTGTCTGTGTGGGCACTGATGTAATGATACCTCTCTCCATGAGTGAATTGAAGAGTGATGCGTTAATGAAGTAGAAGAGGTAGCCAATGAGTTGTGAGGCAATCTCTGGGTGGAGCTGACAGTCCGACAGCAGTCTCCATTTGTCGGTGAGAACCTCCACAAATTGCTGGATCTCACCAGGGACCTGCAGACCACCACTACCCAGGACCCGATCGCTCTCGCCAGTCACCTCAGGGCTCTTCCTGAACGGGTTGCAGTCCAGAAGGCCCGGCAGGATGGGATAGAGGACCTGATAAGACATAATTGGTTGTGCAGCATAGTGTGAGAGTGACTCACTCATCCATGTGGAACTGGAGATTGTTGACAATTCCTGTGGGTCAATTTGAGGTTGGAAAAGCTAACGTTGTGCGGTGGATGTTCTGATCGCTGGGATAAACTAAAACATGTAACCCTCTAACCTAGATTTCAGACCACCCATATAGCCTGTGCATGTCTGTCTCTCTGAGTTTCTCACACTACAACATAGCTGATCAGCAGAAATAAGAGAGAGTTTGTAACATTTCCTCCTTTTCAGCCAAAGGTCCTTGCTGCTCTTCAGAGCGAGCCCGGACAACGCTAGCTTTGTTCGGGCTAATTGTACACAGACATCCCCTTTCCCCTCCAATCTCACTCTTTACACCCACCAAGCTTCCGAGGCCAGTGCCAGCCGTGGATCTACATTCCTAAAAAGCTGAATATGGCTCATGTGGGCTTGGCATGGCGCTGCTACAGGGCTGCTGAGTGAAGACTTCTGAAGGAATCCACCCTGAGCAGATCGTTTTACATTTACTGTAAGGCCCCGCAGCCAGGACAGGCTGAACATGAACAGTAGAACCTAACAGCCCCGGCTCCCATCACACACGAAACAATGGAAATGGGCGAACATTAAGCTGAATAATCTCTGCAGTGTCTCTGGTTGGAAAATGTCGCTCAGCGGAGCCAAGCCAGAGAGGATTCATTCATTCTGGGATTACCACATGCATCCATGGCATGTATCAGAGTCAGAAAGTGTGTATTCTGTGTTGTCTGCTCATGTGTGCATTCATTGAACTTGATGGACAAGTAAACACACAGTCTGCCCACAAGCCCGTTGAAGTGCGTCTTCACTGCACTCACCAGTGGCGCCTTTTGTTTTCTATCCTGCAGCGATTACCCTCACATTGAGTTGGACGAGCACGAAATACCCCAAAATAAACACAGATTTAAGGAAATGTTTGCATGTTTGGATTTAGATTCGATTTCATCATAGGGTGAGTGCTGCTTTCCCTCGTGTTGGATGGAAGGTTAAAAAAAAAAAAAGTGAGTTAGAAAAAGCTTGTTTACAACCTGGAACATTAAAAATGTCCCTGCACAAACTGAATCCTGGGTCAGACTGTCTGCAGTGCAGTAAGCACTGACATCAATCACTCTGTCCTCTCACTGCATTAGTGAAGGGACAGGATAGATACTGGAGTAAATCATCAGGCCTTAGCCAGATTACTCCTCAGCTTGACACTGGTGACCACATTCCTCACAGATTCTGTTCTGTCAGCAGATGAAAGATGTGGATGTGAGTTTGCTGTGAAGTGACAATCATGATGGATGACTCGACAACACGCCTGGATTAACTGGCAAGACCAAGAAAAAGTCTGACTGTGTCCACACTTGGCCAGCTAGATCTGAAAATGCTGGAAACGTTTTGTACAAATCCCCATCCATTCACACTGAAGTAACTTAAACGATAGGAAACGAGCTGCATCTTCCTCTTCCTCCTCCTCTTTAGGGCATGCTAAAATTTCCTCCTAAATCTTACACACTGTATGATTCAGGGGCAAACTTTTGTTCATTATGTGTTAATATCCTTAATTTGGGTTTTGACAAAACATTTTTTCAGCTGAATTCCTTTTTTTAGTTTTGTAGACTTATTATAAATCAAATGATTCCTGTGCTTCCTCAAAGATTAATTAGAACTCTTTAGCTCACAGAAAAGTGTGCTGAAGAGCCACAAACACCTTCTTATCTCTTGCCATTTCAATCCAGAGATTCCACAGTTGCAACACACTGTCAGTGCGTGAACTCCTAAATTGCCAGAGAAATTCAGACTATAATGCAACATGCCAACTGACACAATGCCTTCTTCTGTGTTGAAAAGACAACCATATTTTGAAGATGGTTAAAAGACAATAAGGACATTTACAGTATTACAGCTAAAGTTAGTTATTGTTAGCAAAAGCTTGCTAATTAGCTTCCATCTGGCTGTCATTAGCTATCAAATGTAAGTATCTTAGCTAATAATTCATGTAGATTAGCTAACTAGCTAACTAACCAGCTAAATAGTCAACCAACGGCAGATGTAGATTAGCTAGCTGGTTAGCTATCATTTGACTAACATTAGCTAACTAACGTACTTTTAGCCAGTACAAAATGAGGTTGTCCTTTCAACATCAACATGACAAGGCTACCACATTGCATTGCAAAGCACAGGAAAGGCAAAAGTTGACCGAGGTTCTGACCGAGGCTTACTCAACTGTTATTGGAGCACAGAGCAAAAAGGGGCGGGACTTAGGAAGGGTCAATTGAACATAAATTTACTGTAAATTAGATCCTACAAGTTCAAACTTCATGAACTCTCCATGTTTTTATTGCTGGATTATTTATGGATTTACTGACAAACCACATCTGGAAGTCATTTGGTTCATCAGGCAGACTTGCTGAGAGAAATAAATGCTGTCTGAGGCAGGTAGTTAGAGAACCACATCCTCCTGCAAGTCTAAAACTTGCAGCACAGCAACTATTGAGGAATTCCTATAGTTTCCTCTTTAGAGATACAATGTCATATCACTGACTTCTTTCTTGTAGGGAAACTGACAGGCGCATCCATCTGAATTCCAACTGGCAGAAGATGTGAGACCTTGGCTTGGCTGGTAGCACTGGACCAGTGCTGCCCTAATGCTTCTTTTTACTTTGGGCCTTGCTGGTGTGGAGCATCCAGGTCACTGGAGGGGCTGTGAAGGACATGGAGCTTAGCTTTCAGTTATGATTTTGAGTTCAGCTACTGGAGGAGGAGGAGAAGGAGAAGGAGGAGGAGGAGGAGGAGGAGGAGGAGGAGTAAGAAATGTCCAAAAAAGGAGGAAGTCGGATGTCATTGTATGAACACAAATAGGTCAATCTCCTCATTAGTACGTTTTGGATAATGCTTTTACCCACACCCACAAAGCTCAACTGGAAATGTGTCCAAAACTTTCCCGGCACAATTCCATGTAATGGGTGTGGTGCGTCAGTGGAACTGCAACTGAATGCTGTGGCTACAAAGAAATACCATTTTCTCTTTTTCCAAGTAACAGTGTGAGCTTGATCAAATACAGTATTTACACTCAAGCCATGCTATTTACCTCCACAGCGAGGGAGTCTTAATTGGAAACATGAAAAGAGTTTAGAGGACTTTATTACTTGAATATCCTGTGGTGTCAATATACCTGCTTAGACCAAAAATGATTGTGTGCTGAGGTAATGCAGGTATGAAGGAATGTTTACTGGTGTATAGGAGTTTTCAACTAAATGTTTGATTCATCACTTCTATTAATGTAGAATAATAATTGACTCACACATTAAGCCATCACCATTGCCATGTTTCTTTGGCAATTTTCTGGTGTTACTGGCCACCCAACAAAAGTAAATCCAATATTCACTCTCCTTTCACCTCTGTTTTGTCACCAACTACCAGAGGTGTGGACTCAAAAAGACTCTAATTGGACTTAGAACTAATCAACCTCCCCATAGATTAAAAAGTTGGGGCACAACAGATCACAGAAAAGTTTGCATCATACCACGAGTGGCAGTGAACGTGTATGGTTACATTTGGTCTGCAGTTCACGTGTGGCACACCATGTAGGGTGGTGCATACAGATGAGCTATGAATCAATTAATTTCCCTTCCCAGAGGCGATCCGTTACGTCCACCGGAAAACCCCCTCTTAGTTTTTCTGTACCACAGGCCCTGTTTTGGCCATTGTACAGCAATGATGTGTTTAAACAGACAAGAGTGCAGTGGGTTCCCTCCCTGGCTTGTACTTTGATTTTCACCCAAAACAAGACTACAAATCAGCTTCTAAATTGGATGAAGATAATGTATTTTCTGAAAACTAAAGCATGTAAACCTATTCCAGAAGACCCCACATATAAAAGTATGACCCTGAAAAAGTACATAATGTGGTGTCTTTAATATATTATTGCTCTGTTAATAAAATGGCAAAATTGCATACATGAAAACTTGCACTAGGAGGTGGGACTTGATTTGGGAATTTGAGACTTACTTGTGACTTGCAAAACAATGACTTTGATGACAATGCTAAAAGCAAATATCTGTTTCTTTAGTTGCCTAATGCTCCACTTTGGTCAAAAGCAAGTCGCTGATTTTGTCAGCTGCCTGAAAAAGCATGATGAGAGTTGTGAGAGAGACGAATCAGACCAGTAACGCTGCGGGTCATAAAACCAAAACAAAGAGCTGAAAAATGCTAAAACGCTCTATAGAGCTGAGAGAATCCGCAGAGTGGAGTGAGGTTTAACAGTACGAGCGGCCTCTCTCACATTACATGTAATTATCACATCCATTACATGTAATATGAAAATGTGGAGCTTTGCCACTTGTGTACATCTCTCAGCTGAAATATTTTAGGTTGCAATGTAAAGCTTCCTTGGCAGCACTTGGAGGTCCCTGGCTCCGTCCTTCCCCAACACACACACAAACACACACACACACACACACACAAAGGCCCATGGTGTCCTGTCTCTCTCCCGTGTCATAATGCCCCCAGTGTGGTCTGGCAGTGTGGCCAGTTGCTCTATTAGAAAGCTGTCAGAGTGGCTAACTGGGCTCTTTATTCTCAGGCCGTCTCTGATTATTTTCCTTTCTTAAAGTACACATCATAATCATCTGTGAGAGGAACAAACTGAGCTCCTACACAAGCCTGGTTTGACTCGTCTCCTTCGGCCAAGAAAAGTGCCTTGTTGGCCGAGGTAAGGTAGAGATTTAGTTTCCCATGCAAGACACTCGCGTACAAATATATTTAAGTCATTACTTGCTTGCCTTTCCCACAGACGTGTAGCTGTTCTATTTCAGCACATAGAGAATTCTGTGTATGCTATAGCGGCGTGCTTGGTCCTCCTCTCACCTTGGTGATGTAGTACACACACTGCTGGAAGGCGAGCATGATGACCTCCTCCAGGACAGCAATTGTCTCCTCACTGGCTGAACGGACACAGGACAGACGTAAATCCAACAGGGCTGAAAATCACACACACACACACACACACACACACACACATATATATTAATGATGTAGTTATGCTCCAGTGACATTTCTTTCACTACTTTTTGTCAGTGAGATATAAAAATAAATTGGTTGGAGTATTTTTTACCCAGAAATATCCTAACACTCTGATCATTGTATTTGAAGCTAAGTAAGTGACTAACCCAAGTTCTCCCTCTCCATGTTCTCCCCATCTTCCCTTTCTTCTTCATCTTCCTGTCCCTGCTCTTTTTGGGTTCTCCACTCCAGAATAAGAGGCAGCTGGAACTGGATGAACTGCAGCAGCTCCAGACTGTTGGACATCCACACCACCAGGGGGCGCAGTCCTGAGATCACCTCATGCAGACTGAGAGCCTGGAGGTCCTCAGGGGCTGAGCCTTCACCGTTGAGACTGCAATGCATAAGAATAAGAGATAAGAAGAGATCTGCAGTGTGGTCTGAACTGTCATATAAACCGACTGCTGAAGAAAAACAATGTGTGCTTACACTTCAGGTTGTACTGCAGCTAAGTCCTTAGTGTGCTCCTGCATGACAACAAGAAAAAGCTAGTGATAATAATAAACAGCATTCATTTACTCAAAATTAAAGATGTTTAGTAGAAAGCATTAACAAAAAAAATGTGAAGAAGATAAAAAGATATAAGATCAAAAGTATATAAACAATGGTAGACAACACAGAGTTCAAACAAGATCATTATTGTACATAAAAATATGTCTGTGCAGTGTGTTTTAAGAGCAGACAATCAGTAACTCTTACCCTGTGCTCCAATGACACCTTGCTTTTTCCCACTCTCTCTGCATTGTGCATGTATGGTGTTGTCCTAAAGTAACCTGGGCCTGAGGATTAGGTAAAAATGTTGGCCTTGAGGCCCTTAAAGGACCAGTGTGTGTTCAGTGTCATCTAGTGGTGAGGTTACAGATTGCAACCAACTGAATACCTCTCGCCTGACCCTCCCCTTTCCATGCAGGAGAAACAACAGAAACAGTGTTTGGTTTGTCCGTTCTGGGCTACTGTAGAAACATGGCAGTTCAACATGGCACCCTCTGTAGAACAGGACCCACTCCCTCTGTAGATATAAAGGACTCATTCTAAGGTAACAAAAACACAATGACTCGTATTTTCTGGTGATTATACACTAATGATTAGATTTCTGGGCCTTTAAGGCCTGGTCACACTAGAAAATGTCATAATCACATGTATCGTTGCAAAATATGTGGTTTTAGTGGTAGTGATGTAGTGACTCCTCTTGGGACTAGCTGGTCAACTACTGTAATGTTAGCTGGCAGCTAACCGCTAACACTAGCAAGCAGTGGACATGCTAGCAGTAATACAGTACACACAATAGTTCTCAGAGAAGTTTACTTTTTTACAATTTAGTTTTATCAAAGAGTGGGGGAAAGCTCTGAGCTAGCAAGCTGCCTAACAGTCAGTTAGATAACAGGCCTAGCTAACTGTTAGCAAGCTTGTGGTTGTCGCGAACTGAACAATAAGTTCAGAGTAAGATACAGAGTGTAATATTTAGGAGCCTCTATTGGTAGAAATGGAATGTAATATTTCCATTAATGCATAAACGCCTGTTTCATTAAGAGTTATGCGTTTTTTGTGTGTAGCAAGTTTGTTGCGATGTGCAACTACGCTGCTAGACTACACTAAATCCTACACACCTTTAAAATCTTGCCATTTTAAAATTAAATCATTTTAGTTTGTATTCTGCTTTAGTGCTGTATATTCCCAAACAAATTAGCAATTCATCAGATTACAACAAATGAACTGCTACACACTGGAAGCATATGACTTTCTGACTTTTTTGACGTTTTAAAGTACACTTATTGTTTTAAATTACATTATAAGGCCCATCACACTGCCTTGATGCCCCTAATCCAACCTTGTTTCCATTTTTCCAGCAATTGACGCGGGTCAAACGAGACGAGTCAATTATCACATTCAGTGTATTTGGGCCTTTGCACCTGCCCTGACTGTCTGTAGCCCTAGTGAAGCTGTGTTGTGAAAGGGACATCCTGGCGGACCTCCATGACATCTTGTTTCTTCCCACAACTCACCCACATGGCACTCTGAACTCCACTGGCGATACGCAACAGCAGCCTGCGCAGGTCTGAGGTATGAAGACCGGTGGCCGAATACTGAACACACAGGCACAGCAGAAATGCAACAGTCAGTGGTGGTCTGGCTCTGACGCTGCTGCTTCCTGTAGCAACTATCTCCTTGACAATGCGATCCTCATCCTCACTCTCATATGTCAGAGTCAGGCTGTGGCCTTCAGGTGATTTTAAAAAGGGAAGGCCTCTGTCTTGGGACTGTTTGCTGCTGGATCCCTGTTGGTCAGTGCAGGTTGTGAAGCAGGTGTTGCAGAGGATCATTTCTCCAGTATGGCTTGTTGTAGTGGCAGAAGTGGTATGACCCAGCATCCAGGGGACAGCAGTAGTGCTGGGCTCAGGAGCAGCACTGTTCACTTCCTTCATGTCCAAGATAGAAACAAGAATCATGTCTATCATTTCTTTGTTTTCACTCAAGGAATTTAAGAAGACAAAGATCCCAAATATGGGAATATGGGAAATAGGAAAAATACAGTGGATACTTTACACACTTACAATATGCCCTCACCTTCCTGTTTCACTCTTACCTTGTGTCTCAAATCTAACGGATCCTTGAAAAGAAACAGGTAGCGCTGTCCCAACCCAATGACATCACCAGGGTTAAGCTGCACTTCTTTTCTCAGCACTTCGCCATTCCTGGTGACCACGGCGTCCTGACATGGGCAGAGCGTGGTGAGGCTGCCAACGCCGTGGCGCTGGAAACAGCAGTGTTTCGGAAGGATGTCAGTGGCAAAGAGAAGGATGTCAGGCTTTGACCCGTCTTCGTGATCACTTAGCCGACCAAGTACAATGTTTGGCCCAGCAAGTAGGTAGATAACAAAGTCCTAAGTGTAGAGAAATATGACAATTATCATAAAGTCTCAGACAATTGAGAGAATATTCTCCATCCCTTTGATTTAATCTCAATAAAGTACTGCAGGAATCAGTCCTAAAACCCAGAAATGAGCTGGCCTCAAAGTCAATTAGAATTTTCAGATACCAATATCAGTATCAGAAATTCCTCAATACTACCTTAAATGCAGTATTGGTAAGTATGCATCTCTGTGCAGCAATCCAATACCACTTAATTTATTAGCCCAGAAACAGGACACTGATGGAAAGGAATAGGGTATGTATCTCTGTAAAGTCAATGAGTTTTTTTGAACAAGTTAGATGGTTAGATGCCTGAACTACGGTGAACACAAGCTTAAGATTTCAAATATGTCGGTAAATACCCCACCTGGGAATTTTGAAGCTTTTAACAAAGGTGCTTGCTAACAAAAGATCCCAAAAAGGTTTATTTAAATTCATTTTTAAATGCAGGACTTGTACTTGTAATGGACTTTGCACCTGTGTATCTTGGTCTTGAAACACGTGGACAGTTCTGCTCGATAGGAACAGCAAATGTATAAAACTTGGAACTGTGGGTGAATCACCACCACCAGCTACATAACAACTCAGTGAAAGCAGTCTGATCATGTGGAGGTATTAGAATTATAGTCTTGATCCCAGCCTGATTAGGCAAACAATGTTTTATTAATCACAGTGACATGCCCCTTGTTATGTGATGTGGTCTTTTCCAACGTGACAGGTTTTAACCAGCTGAATTAATTCACAGATAAACTCCCTAAACCTTGCTCATAATAGTATTTCTCGTGGTAGATGATTATATTCTTTTGAAGGGTCTTTAGGGAAAACAACAGTGACGCAGAGTCACAATCACAGGAGAGTGAGGATTAGCCTCTGTGTGTGTGTGTGTGTGTGTGTGTACCACAGTGAGAACCATGTGTAATCAGCCAGGAAGCAGTGCCAGGGTTGTCTTTTTCTGTTTCCTGATCAGTGTTTTGACACACACAGTTTTTCTAGTTCGCTGACCTCTCACATAATGATTCTGCCCTCAGTCTCTGTCTTTACACTGAAAAAACATGCCTCTAGAGCTGCAGCTCTGACATATTTTACAGTGAGTGAAGGGCATAACACAGTTTGAGCGTAATACAATGCACATGTGAACATCTGGTTAAAGAAGCCAAAATCAGCCTGCATGCATGTGAGAGGTGGAATTGACTGTTCATTAAACCTCACTGTGGCTAACCCTATTATGAAGTTTACAAAGATAACATGGGCAGATTTTACTGTCAAAACTCTCTAATTTTCACTGTATCACTTTTAGTCTTACAAGACAAAAAGCCTGAGAGGACTAACCAAGATGTTTGGCAACCCTAACACTACCTCAGGTAACGTTGCCTCGGGTTGCTGGACTGTGAACTTCCCAAACCTAATAAAGAACAGGACAACACTATGTGTAATTGCTCCATGGCTTTGGAAGTGATGCTAGGTTACTCGCCTTCTATCGGCAGTAGAAGGCTAGTTAGCCGATCATACTAACTTAGCTTATGTTAACTACAATTGACCCAGAATTTAAAAGTCGATTTGAGTTTTTACTCTTCTCATCACTGTTATCTTTAGCTTCCACCCGCCGATAGTGGCGTTGTAACAGAATTTTAAGTTAAACAATTGGATGTTTCTTGCTGAAATGCACTTTGGGAATCCTAGTTAACATCTACCTTAAACTTTTACGTACACAAGGATCATTTACCTTTCACTTTTTTTTATGAAAGAATCAGAACATTTCTAAAGTAGTTTTAAATCTGTAACTATTTAACTGTGAGTTTCATGCGGATCTAAGCCATAGACGAGCTCCAACGGCGGGTCGTGTAACATACTTGACTTTGCATATGTGCTGCTTGTGCGTCTGAATCAGATACCTGTGCGAGGCTGCAGCCCTGCAGCAACAGCAGGTATGGACAGTCGTGAGGAGGGTGAATGGAGTACTGTGTGGTGTTATCGTCGCTGCTCTCCGTCTCCTCCCTCTCTGACTCCTCTCCTTCGCGCTCGCCCCTTGGCCTCGACGGACAGAGGGTCTCTGTTTTTGCCCGCGACCCACCGTCCCCCTCTGAGGGAACTGCGAGCATGTGAATGTGATTCTGTCCCGGGCTTGTTTTTGGCTGCTCGAAACTGTGCACTGGAGTTTGATTCAGGCTCTCGCTTCGATCTTTATGACACTTATCACGATCTGCGTCCTGTTTGGTCTCTGTATCAGAATCTAAGAGGTCCATCTCACTTTTGCTCCTCCACAGTTTGTGGCTTCGCCCTGTGGTCCTCTCTATGAGGGTGGAGGTCACTCTGGAGCGGCTCTTCTGCAGCTTTCGAGCCTGGGCGTTGATCCCTAACAGAGAGATGAACAGTGATGTTAAAACGTGTGCAAATTGAACTGCTGTATAAATACATTAAGCACAGAGGTAAAGGAATGTAGTGATAGGGCAACACCCTTTTTTTTCCTGACGCAAGGTGAGGTGCGTGTGTGTGAGCCTGCGTATGTTCGTACATTGTGTGTTTATGCCAGAGTCAACACGGAGAAGCCCCACACAGGAAACAGACCTCGGTGGAAAGAAAGACAGAGCTCATGGAAATAAAAAAAAGTTCACCCATGGAGCAGGCATCCACAAGCTGACACTGATAGAAAGCTATCACAAGCTGCGCCATTCATAAAAGCAAAACACAAAACAGGACGCACTCTTACACCATGACCACAGCTGTGTCAACCACAGCTCGCGCCTCCAGTACAAATGACAGAAAGCGGTCCGCCCTGCACGTTTACAGTGCCATAAAGTGTTTGTGTCCAGCATCCACGGAAAGTTCTGGGTGTTTTTCTGCTGCATCATTCTTTGTAAATATCATTGGATACGATATTTTGCCATGTAAAACTTTTATAGCGTTATGCTAAAACAGTTAAGTGTTAAAGAAAAGGGTGTGCCACTGGAAGAGGTTTAATTCAATTTCAGGCTGTCTGCATTGTTCATTAAATTTAAAGTTTATGAAATGTTAGTTCAAATTTGTAACAGAAATTGAATAGAAAGAAAAAAAGAAATTGTAGACCTATTAAAATATAGTTTGGTCTGTGTGGCTTGGCTGATTTTCACTGGAAAAACAGCATGCCAGCAGACCACATTTTACTGTGAGAACTCTAAAAACTGGATTTAATACTGACAATGCTTTATTTAATGGTAAAAAAAGTTATTCCAAGACATGCAGACACCCTGAGTTAGGATGTGGTACGCTGTGAAATGATCAGTCCCAAAGCACCCTGAGGCTGCAGTCAGACACTGTACCAGCAGTAATGGTGTCTTTGTCTTTGGACGTCTTCTCTTCCACCAAGCGTCTCCTCTGGATTTCGAACCGTCTCGCCAGGCCTTCTCTGGGTTTCCATAGAGACTGCAGGAGGAGGGGCTTCTCGTTGTCGCCCACAACTCGGAAGCCTTCTGTCCTCCACTGATGACTGCTAATAGAGCCGATGGTGTCGCAGAGTATGTAGGACTCTGCCTCCTCCTTGCCCAGACCATACCTAGGAGATATAATCAGGTTAAATAATTATAATACTAACTGGACAAAATTAATTTAGCACTCCAAAGTACTGTACTTTTGGAAACTTATGCTTGCCATCGGCAAGTCAGGCAGTTGAAGGCAGTATCGCTTTTGTCCACAGGGGTCGCCAGAATCAACATAAAATAAAGGTGTCTTGTAGCTTCTTTAAAGCGCCGATGTCATTGACAGTATATGTAATAGCCAGAGCTTGGTCTGTGAAGTGAAGCCAACGTGTAAGTGTCTTAAAACCTGCATTGTATGTAAAGGCCAAGCATTATTTACTCATGGGGAGAATTAGTCTACTTCCTGATGAGTTTATGGTCTCACCCACTAGTTTCAGTCTTCTTCCATACAGCATGATGTTCATTTAGTAAGTTGTGGTCTCATTTAGAGTAAAATGGACGATAAAGCTATATGCTTTTGGGCCGAGCTACCTTTTGATTGACAGGTCACTCTCAGTGAGTCTGTCCAGCTCAACGCACCAAAATCAGATCAAACTGTCAATTAGGCAGTGCTGATCAAATATGAATTAATATTCTGTAAGTGTCTCACTTAAAATCGTTTAAGAAACATATTTTAGTGTGCTGTTTATCTGTAATACGAGATCCTGTGTGACCAGGTGAGCAGGCATTGTTTCCTGCTACAGACAAGTTGAAACTGTGCAGCCAATGAGAGCAGCCCAATTCGCAGTACGTCCATCTAACTGTTATGGCGATGTCCAAAACGGTAGTCCACAAACCAATGGGTGACATCACAATAAGTTCACACTTGGCCTATGTATAGGATTTTAGGATTTTAGACGTTTTCTAGTGCTCTTATCAGAAAAGAAACTCTGGTAGACCGCAATGCACGCCACCACTCATCCATACCCCCAAAGCGTCTGACCTGATGATATTGAACTGAATCACTTAAACGCAGCACAGACTGAGCCAGTTTTCACCAAGATTGTCTAATTTGTCGGTGCGATATTCACTCTACTTCCAGCTGAATTGGAGAAACGCCTGGCTCTTTAGCCACTATACTCTCCATGTTGTTAACCAGCTAGCCTCTGTAGGCTATTTATCAGTAGGCGGTTTATCAGAGCTTTTTTACTAAAAAAATAATAATAAAAAAGCACTTCCTACTGCAGCTGGAAGTGAGGGTTATGAGAGCTGTGAGCGTGAACCAAAAGAGTGAAGTTGTCAGCTGTAAATGCAAAAGAAATGGGCACAAAGACATTAGAATGCTTCGGGTTGGGTGATAATCTGCGAGTTCATCTAACATGCAACTCCTTTCGCATTATACATAGTCATTTGATCCATTAATAATTTAAAAATAGATTAGAACACCTTTAATGTAAAACACTTTAACATGCCAACATTAACATCTGTTGACTTACAGAGGGTTGTTTTTAGCTTTTTCTTCAAACTAATCAAAGTAGCACCTTATCATGGATGTATTTGCTAACCCATTAATACATAAGAGATCTAGTAATGATATAGCTCAGTCTCACTGCTCCAGTGTAAATTTTCACTGAGGGAAAGTAAAATGATTTACTCTTTCCTCTACAAACTGAATACCACTTGTATTAATCATTCCATTATGTTTTTGGCTGAAACATAAGCAAAGACTGACAGACATTCACTCTCCAGAGAGGCCGCCTTAGAGCCCTGACCAACCCTGGCTGTCTTTCACACAAGTCTGTGGTTTGCTTTAGACCTTTTCAGAACTACCAAATGAACTATTTGGCACACTCACACACCATGCACACTGTACTGCAATTATAACAAACAGAACAACGGGTCAGGTCGACTTTGTTCATCTAAAATACACTAATCACAACAACACGAACTCTCCTTTCATGAACCGCCAAGGTTTTGTGCATCAAGGACTGTTCTGACTGCTGTTATACACAACGATGTAGCACAAAGGTACTGTATATTACAGCAGAGGAAGCGTGTGGATGGACATAATAGAACTCACCCACTGCATACAAAGCGGACACATATGGCATGCAGACACACACACACACACACACACACACACGTGCACACAGATAACACATGGCCTTACCGTTCAAGGGCCTCTTTGACTAGCTCTTTTGCACTGGAGTGTGTGGTGGCCAGGACGCTCTTATAGTGAGCTCCCTCACAGATTTCATCTCCAAAGATCTTCAGGATTCCTGGAGCAGTTATCTGATTGGATAGCTCAGATGGGTCGTCTGCTTTTAAAACATCTGTAGAGATCACTGCAAGGCAACAAGGGAGAGGAGTTTTAAAGCTGGGTCTCAGTTGTGGTTCATTAACATTGATGGCAGAGAGACATTTACCATAAACCCAGTAGGAAAGACAATCTGTGGAAAACAAAAATACTTATATAACATACACTATGTGTCTGCACATTGCAATAAACCAGTGGTCTGTCCTAACTGATGGAATACGTGCGCTGACCGATGTCAATTGAGCTGGTTCTTCCATTTCTCTGATGGAGTAATGTCATTCAAAACCACATTTAAAAGTCTAGCAATTAAAGTATGTATGTGGGCATTTGTATGTATACTTTGTATAGTCCATTTTCCAGTGTGAATGTGCTATATGGTCAAACTATAATTGGAATTACTGCACAGTTATGCATTTGGAACACAGATAATGGTGATCCTCCTTTTACCCTATCACTGTGAAATGCAGTATAATGCAGTACGGCTTTTGTTCACATAAAATAAAAGTTTCTTGTAGGTGCTTCAAAGTGCCTATGTCATTGACAGTATATATATATAACTATTTAGTATTGCTCTTTCATAAAGTTTGCAGACTCACAAGATACCGGTTTAATAAATGAGTGAATGATGAATGAATGATGAGAATCAAAGCAGCCATGGCAAAGATATCCTTGCTTTTAGTTTCTAGACTTAAATACCTCTGTCTTTCAAACTCCATATTCCCACTTAATAATGCAAGTTTTTTTTTATAAATTACATCACCAAATCTGAGTTGAGATAATTTTGATGACATCATCAAGGGTCATTCTGTCCCCCAGAGTGGTGGCTCCTTTGAGTTAATATAAAATATTAAAAAGTTACATAGCAACAGCAACCTTCTATCTATAGTAAATCCTACAATGACAAAATCCCAGGACAAACATGCAGGGAGAGGTGTAAAGTCATTGTGACGTACTGCTTCCCTTCCTGATGGACATTGAGGACCTGATGCCTGCTGTCAGCGCCATGGAGCCTGAGTTGGAGGTGGGGCCGCGGTGGAAGACACCTGAGAGGCGGTTGGTATGGCGACGGATGCGGCTCTTGCTTGGCTGTCTGACTGCAACGCACTCGGCTGACCTGCTGGTGGATGAGCTGCCAGTGGATGAAGCCGATCTTATGAACAAGAGGAGAAGGAAAGCCTCAAATGAAGACCTATGATGAAGAAGTGTCCTTGAGAAAGACACTGAATCCCTACCAGCTGATCTTTGAATCCCTTGTAAAAGTAAGAGAAGTAGGAGGGTTCCAAATAGTTTAGTCCCAACAGTTTTCACCAAGAGAGGGACCGGGGAAGGAGAAATAAGTGGTTTGGAAAGGGGAGAAATGGAGTGAAAAGGTAAAACAGAAGATGGAAGAACAGAATTAAAGCTGCAGTAGGTAACTTTTAGAAAAATATTTTTTGTCATGTGTGCTGAAATTTGTCCTGACAGTAGTACATAAAACAGATACTCTGTGAACAATCAGGTTCCTCTGGCTCCTCATAGTGCTCCTAATGGCATTTGTAAGAATTCACAGGCCTGGACGAAAACAACCAATTAGAGCCAAGAAAGATATAAAGACGCTTTGGGTTGTGGAAGCTTGAAGAACCCAGAACGCCTGTATTTGACATCCTGGGAATGAGACTCAACATCAAATATCGATCTTTGCTCTGATTGGTTGTTTTTGTCCAGGCCCGGTGGATTCTATTTTTATAAAAATTACCTACTGCAGCTTTAAGAGCTACAACGGATGCAACAGCAAAGGAGAAAGCAAAGTGATAAATACAAGAAAATATAATGATAACAAGAAAAATTATTTAGTAGGAGGGAAGAAAGTAGAACAATTAGCAGAAAAAATGCATAAAAACATTCTTCATACATATATTTAAACAATACATAATGATCAATAAACTTACATCACAAAGTTCTATCAGTGAGCCATAATAGCACATACTGTACATACGTATCTGTCCCAAGCACAATGCAGTCCAGTCCCTGTCACCATGCCTCCCTCAGCTCCCTCAGTGCTTTACTGAAATAATGAACTGTTGTTTTACATCTGACCAAGCCTGTAAGCTGCTTATGTGGTTCAAAGGTTCTCTGCAGTTACGCCACCACTTGGACATAAAAGACTCCTGATGAACAATGTTAGTGAAACTGGTTGAAGTCTGTCTGTGTAGAACAACAGTGATGGAATATGATGGCACGAGCAGATTATGAGTATAGTTTTATTGCATCTCATCAGCCTTAGGGCCATCAGGGGATGAAGAGGACTTTATATGCTAAAAAAAAAAAATCTGCATTTATTAAAAGAGCATATGATTGCAAAGCCGCTTTTATGAGTTCAGTGTTTGATTTTTGCCTTTCCTCTTATTCCATTAATCATCTCACTTTATGTTAGTCTCCCCAATAACCAATTAAAGCCTTTAACCATCTGAGTGACCTTCAAAATAGAAAACTAGTTGACTGACTGGTCTTTCTCAATGCATTTTAAGAGCATAAGAACTGAATAACACATTCTGTATGAATAAAAAGCAAAAAGGTCCAATCAAGTCTCATAAAATTCACTTGTACAAACTACTAAAGCTGTTTGTTGTTCACACTCACTGCTGAGAGCCATCACTTGTCTTCCTTCCCAACTTGACAAACCGCCTCTTTGGTGAAGCTGCAGGTAAAATCGGTGGTCTCGGTGGGAGAGAACGCAGCTCCTCAGAGGAAAATGCCATCTGATTCATTCCTGCTCAAGGTAAACTGTTACGGATGATATTTTAAATCAAGACAAAGGGTTCCTATTATCATGTCACATCAGCCCGTGCTGCACGCAAGCTGCTTTGCGTCATTTCTGGGATGTTTCATCCAGGACAAGCTTCATTTTACGCACTCCGGAACAGGCGCTGCAGATGTTTCCAGCCCTCATCCAGCTGTTGGGACTGCCGCAGCCGGGCTGTGCAGTCCACCGACGACGGCTCGGGTTGCAGTTCTACTTCACACTCTTTCTGTGACGCTGACACGGATCAGATGAGTGAAGTTTAGCGGACTGATCTCAGGTCAGACAGTGTGCCGCTCTCCGCGCTGTTAATGTCAGATAATCTACTGCGCGTGCTGCTGGAGGAGGCAGTTTTGTTTCAAATTCAGAACGAACCCGCTCTCCAGATGTGCATCGACAGCGCAAATGCTTGGAGATGCCAAGTGCGCACACCCGCCCACCCATACTAAAACTTTCAAAATAAAATCCTCAGAGAAAAGCGCGTTTCATATTATTATTATTATTCTAATTTTAAAGCCAATTACCATATCTTACTGCAGTGCTGTGGTTGAAGAAGACTCTTAGATATATAAGTTGGAGTCTGAAACGGTCCTCCTGTGCACCATGAACCCAGTGAACCAAAGGCCCAAACATTGCTGCGTTCATGACTCCATCTTCTGGCTGCGCACAGATCACACCTCTGAGAGTAAAGGAGCCTTAAATAAGAACTTTATTAGCTACATGCAAGAGTAAATATCAATAGACTAAAAATCGCCCCTACTAACAAAGCTGCAACATTACAGCTCACTAATATGAATACCAGAGGCCAAATTGCAAAATGTATTCACGTAGGTGGGTCTTTTTGTTCCATTTATGTGGTGGCTGCATTCCTTGTTAGTTAGTAGAATATATAATTAACTCTAAATAAAGCTATCTTACACTTAAACCTGGACAATCTCAATATTAGTGGTTTTGTACAGGATGATGAAAAAAACCTCTATAATGATCAAATCCTTTAGTATATACATGACGACATTAAAATGTTTTTGTATTTCATATATTCCTGACAGCAGAAAAAGACACTACACACCTATATACAGGAACAGTAATGCAACTCAGGCCAACAACCTGCGGAACATAAACAATGGAGCACAAGTATTATTATATGTATAGAGTTCAATTAGTGCTTGAAACGTCAACTTTTGGATGCACTTGTGACCCAGAGATGACTTTTTATGTTTTATATGAATGCTTAGAAGGTTAGGGTTAGTTGCTGTGGACTCTATCTCCAAAGATGTATTTGGTCTTTGTTCCAGGTGACAGGTTCAGCAAAGAATACATCCCTCAGGGGACTCGCTTTGGCCCCCTGAGTCAATGTCCTCAAACAGGCCAACAGAAAATAGATACATACAATAAATACACATACTGTACGACCATGCATAATTACATTTGGGCATCAATGCGATTAGTTGAGGAGCAACTGTGGACATGCTTTCATCTTCCTCTATTATTCATGAAAAACAGATGTTGGTTGCTCAGATACGGAAGTTTCACATCAAGTCCCTGTCCATATGTCAATAAGGAAACAAAAATGCTTTCACACAGGGTAGAGGGCATTTGGTAAAAAATGTGGAATTCACATGTGCTACTAGTTTATAATTATTCTTTTGTGACAATTTGAGATAATTATGAGTCGTTGTGTTAATCCTTAGTAATACTACAAACAGAGCTCTTTTAGTTAATTGTCGAACTTCATCTTTTAAGAGAGTACTGTATCTGTATCTTATGTTGCATTGATAGCCTGCGGACATAATTTACTGTATAGGATTGTAATTTATAGTGTATTAGATTATGGTTAACTGTATTGGTATGTCTGTTATTCTATTACTAGTAACCATTTCCAGCAAAATAGTCCCTTTTACGACATCAAATCACAATACTGCCAGCTATAGCTACAACAGGCCTTAAATCAGGAAGAAGAGGAATGGCCCTTCCGACCCCCGGCTGTTGCAGATTATATAGTTGCTGAGTCATCAGGTCATATGGGTCCCATGGAAAAACTGACAGCTAGACTTTGCAGGTTGGGAGATCCGGTTAACCACAGGCAGCAGAGAGTAACCCCAGAGTATCTTGAGCCAGCAGAAGAGGTCCTCAATCACCAAGGGTCCTTGGGAAGTTGCAAGGCTAAAAATCGCACTGGAAAATCTCCTGCATCAGGACACCTCTGAGAGATTCAAATATCAGATCCTCCTCGATCATTCAAAATTTGAAGAGGCTCTCCTAATAGTTGCTTCGTACACCAACTCAAAGAATCCTGTTTAGATACGATGGCTTCCCTCACCAGACATTATGGCAAGCCCCACCAACTGGCAGTATAGCGGATAGCTGAGCTAATAGATGGCCCAAACATCCAAAGCAGTGACACAAAGGGATTTAAGCGATTTGCTCTGCAGGTGAGGGCTTTGGTTGGGCTGTTAGACCAATTAGGGAAAGTGGATAAATAGAACTACAGTTTGGCTCACATGTATCCCAACTACTGGCAAAGTTACCATTGTATCTTGTTACCAGCTTCAAACATTACACACATCTCACTCATTTTTGGATTTTGCTCATTGGTTGGAATATGAGCTTGAGATTTAGACAGGTGGAGCAGCAGTTTCACAGGGAGATATGCATGGGGTGCCCGAGAGAGACGGTCAGAAGGACGTTAAACCAGGAAGAGCTACTGCCATATTGCTTGCTGCCAACCAGTCTTCCATCTCTCATCAGCCAGAGAATCCCACACCGTCTCTGAATACTATGAATGAGCAGTTTTTCTCTGCCAACAGCCAAGAATCAGGAATCATCCAAGGTATTTTGTCCTTACTGCAAAAACACCTAGCATTACCTAGATCAATGCTATAACTTCAGTCAACTGACCAATGGTCAGACAAATTGGACTGAAGTAAACAAAGCATGTTGGTGATGTGAACGTGGCCAACAGGCAGCTCAATGCAAATTAAAGGCCACCTGCAAGACATGTAATGGTCGACACCTAGAAGCTTTACACAAGCTAAACTTTAAAGCCACTGTGAACACTAGCACGGCCAAGTCTAACAATGAAGTTTTGTACCTTGTCGTGCTGGAAGTAGTCAGGTACTATTGAAGGTGAGCAAGGTGGTCTTGTAAAGTGGACAGCATAAATTGATAACATATGCCATCTTAGATGATGGCTCTAAGAGAACAGCTCTCCTACAAGGTGCTGCTGAAAAGCTCAAACTAACGGGAAAACCAGAGGATATGGTGCTGCGCACAGTTCGCCAGGACCTACTGATACTGCATGGTTGTTGTTTTTTTTGTTACATTTACCATTTCCCCTGCTGACCACCCTCAGAAAACATTCAAGATAAAGGGAGCTTTTACCTCCCTATATAGAGCCAGTGTTTGGTTTGTCCCTTCTGGGCTACTGTAGAAACATGGAGTCCCCCACAGAAGGCAACCCGTGGCATCTGTGGATAAAAATGGCTCATTTAATGGTAACAAAAACACAACCATTCCTATCTTCAGGTCATTATGAACAATACCAACATACTTATGAATATTATATTTCATTTCTGACAATAGATCCTCTTTGAACCTTCCCTGTCTCCAAGTCTGTACATAATGACAATGTGCCCTGGTGACATCATAAGGGTTATTCCCCCAGAGGCACAGAAGACATTATACAACTGCCTTCACAAACTGAGTTGTACTTCTGACAGGTAAACTGAACTGTGCGTATTATAACTAAGTAGGCAATACTAATCTCATTGATTCTAATCCATATGATACATCTGCTGCTTGTTGTAACCTGCACAGCTACTCCTACTATTTGAGTATTAATGCAAACAATAAACATAATTGTGATCGTAATGCCACTTATGTCCACTAGATGGCGGGCTCAGCCCTGGAAACACCTGAACCTTGTGTGACACACTGAACAGTTTACAGGAGATGATCTGCTTACACGTTGTCATTATGTACAGGAACAATTAAATACAAGGGGCAACAATGAAAAATTAAATAAATAAAAAATAAATAAAGATACAAAAAAATATATACGACAGTATTAATAGAGTTGCAGCAATATAGTATAGATTTTTATTCATTTAATCCTATTTACAAAGGCAGTGCTATATATGAAACCAGCCTCAAGGATTTCAGAGTTTTACTGACTTAAAACTGTACATTTTGATACATTCTTTTTTTTTTTTTTTGGTAACACAAGCTATCTGAACCCAACTTTGAGTTTCCTGTAAATCAAACAGCACCCAGTGAGCCAGAGGGAAATCCCTCCTGGCCTGCATGGAGAGATAAATGGGCTTACAGGTCCTGGGGCGGAGCTATTCTGTACAGCCCCTACTTGCATAACATGACACTGCTGATACCTGTGGACTTCTGACAGCTCCTGCGGTGTAAATACAACTCAGGGCTTCCCTCACATGTCATGATAAGTTCACACTCTGCAGGCCCTCTGCTGGGTGGCTTAATTTACCTGCGCTCCATCAGAAGGGATATCCAACTAATCATGGACACAGACTCATCTGCCTGTGGGCCAAGGTCAGCTCTTCTTGGAACTTACGAAGAGAACAGAAGGGCTTAACGTCTGGTAATCAGATCCCCTGTTGGACAAGGAGGAGACTTAACAAAGCCTTACTGCTGAGTGCCTTGACAGCGTATAGAGCAGGAATTCCACTACTGTGTACTTTGAAGTCAGTGCTGCCTATGTTTGCCGAACAGAAAGACTCTAATAATGTCTTTCCTTTCCCTCTCTCGACTGCTACCTCGCCAACAGTAGACGAAGCCCATCAGATTTTTTGCTTTCAAGTCGGTCCTGGTCCAGTATGCAATTTGTACAGTGTGATGTAGAAACTTGAAGCCACCAGTGCACATCCACTAAGAATGGACTTTACAGTGAAGTAGGAGACATCTTGTGTCCAGCAGGAAAACTTTAGAAATGAACAACATTTGCATATTCAGAGATTCTGGAATCTTTAATGAGTTAGAAGGAGTAGATGCCTTTAAGGATTTCAGTGTTAAAATTATACTTTTCTGGGGTGGAAAAAACATATCAGACACACGTTATTGTTCCAAACAGACTCTTTGTATCTGTCTTAACACATGTCTGGAGGGGATTTTTAAGTCTCTCTAACTTTCTGTGTTTCTTCTGTGATTTGACCTGAATTGACTTGCTTGCAGTACAGTGCATGACTTTAGTATTTTATGCTTTATGTGATGTTTGTCAAAACTGATTAATCACATAAACCTCACACTTCTAAGGGCACACAAATACAGCCTAAACCGAAACCAAAGAAGGACTCTGAAGCTTTCAGTATGCATTCTCGCGTCCTCTATAATGTGTTTTAGGTAATATCAAACAGCAGACTTCAAAAACAGATACATATTTTGGTTTGACCAG